GTGTATAAAAAGAAAAAGATCTAGGTGTTTGGTAACAATCAAGATAAACTTCCTGTGTCTCTCATTCAGTAGATGCGACAGGGCCGTCGCGTCGTTCCAAGGTGTACCGGTCTGACAAGATAATTGGACTGTATTCATTATTAGGGGCGTACTTGGCGCTAACCATACGCCGCCCGTTTTAAAATCATAGTGTTATATAATTATGACACACAAAAGATCATAACTTTGAGCGTGGACAACGCACATAACATTGAACAGATCAACATCTGAATCTCTGAAAGCTAGGCCGGCAGGTGACAAATCAACAGGTGGCAAATTGTAGATTTCTTAATCAGTTATAATATTGTAATAGCCTTATTAATTATAATACCGTTATTAAATTTACATACGATGAATATGGTTTTTAAAACCCGTCGATGTTTTTATAAGACCACAAAACCCTCATTCAGCGTTTTTTATAGGACACGTGCCAAATTGTTTTTTGATTGCATCTAGTTAAAAATATTGGAAAACATAACACTCCGTACGTAATACTAAGCAAACTGTTTCGGTTTACTTAATTTAATCACAATATATTAATATTATGTCTCCTTATTTTTAATTGGATATGTCTCGCATTTTGCTCTCGAAGTAAATTAATATAATCAAAGTGTAATGTCTATTTAATTACTTTGAAGAAAAAAAAATCAATACTTTATTATTTACCTCCCTTATTGGCTGATACGATCTACGTATACAGTTTAGAATTCAATAGTCTTTCTTGCAAACAATATCCCATTTAATCTCTTCTCCATGCAATAACCACACTGTATCATAACGAACCGGAAATGAGCTTGTCCGAAATTAACCGGGCACAGTAATTTCGGGGTATTTAGTCATAAAAATAGTTTGTGATAAATTAAATAAATTAGTATATCAATGCCGCGCCGGCCGGAAACCTGCAGGTCTAATCAAACAAAAACTTTTCATAATATTCTTTCAACATTCTCCGATTCCAAAGCTGATGACTAATAAATATGTTTCAAATATTATTGTACCATTTTCTGCAAAAAAAATTGTAGTAGTCCAAATTAAGGTTTTCTTGTTTGAACAGTTATATTATTGCAAAAAAAAAAATCATACTATGTATTATTTTCCTAATTCAATGTCGAGTACTATAGTTAGCTCCGTTCTCACGAAAAATTTAGTTCTTTTTCCTCAAAACAAACCTTTTTTTTTTTATTTGCTATAGGCATAGACGCGAAAAATCCATGAGAAAATCAAACCATGTACGTAACATATCACATGTGTTCCTCCAGGCGCGAACAAATGCGGTAATATAATTTTGTATTGTCAAAATTTTTGGACAGTTTCGACGAAAAAAGTATTGTATTTTTTTCCAATTTTTCTAAAGAAGGCGTGTTTGATAAATCCGCAAGGCTGATATAGCAAGTAAAAAAACACAGCCGCGTCAGGTGCACAGGTTAGGGTACTCACGAAAAATTCTCAATGAAAAACACATGAATGGATTCGCGAATGTATACATGCAGCATACTTGCCCGTACATATTATATATATATATATATATATATATATATATATATATATATATATATATATATATATATATATATATATATATATATATATATATATACCTTTTTTTTTGCTCACAATCATAAGAATCACCAAATAATACAGAATGTATCATTAATATATTATTATACATTTTTTATAAAGCTTCAAACGCCGCGTTTATCCCACGGTCGAAAACGTACGGGACTGAAAAACCTATACTATTTATTTTGTATACCTAAAAAAGGTAAATATTTTAAGACATGGTAAACTATTATAAATTATAATGATTTCGATATCGTGCTTGGACATATTATGTGACATAAATTATTTTTTTTAAATATCAACCGACGAAACGGGCACTCTATGCGACGTCGAATACCAAAAATGATTTTAAGAAAGAAATTGATCAAACTAAAAATAGGCACACACACAAACAAATATAATAATGAGCGTTGTTTATGTTTAGGACTTCGCCTAATTGAAAATAAGATATTAAATTGACGCTTAGCCTTGACAGGTCCACGTATAAATTGTATCACGAAAGAAAGGAACAAAATTAAAAATACATCATTGTAAAATCAATTACTCACAGCCTAGTATTGAAGCTAAAATATAAACACGCCGCCCATAATCGTCATATATAACAAATACTTTTTATCAACTATCAATGTTTAATGGTAAAAACATTACAAAAAGTGAACTCAGTCGCGTCGGTAAACAAATATTTATTAGTAAACCAATTTCTGAACTATCTGGTATCACTGGCTTATAACAGTCAACATGGAAGTGTACGTTAAGGAATAAAATACATAGTTGTAAAATATTATTAATAATGACGTTTAAAAAAAAACTAATAGAACTATGGCTGATGACAGTACAGGATTATCCATTTAAATTAAATCAGTATCTCTTAAAATAATTACGTCATTGTTATTTTTCTTTTTAAAAAAATGTTTGTTATTTTTGCAATATTATAAAACTTATAAAGTAACGTAAATACATAACTGAATTTTTAAATTAAAAAGAGTATGCTAAACATTTTGACAAGTGACAGGGCGATAGCCAGTTTTCAAATTTTTAAATTTAAGACGGGTCTTATTTCTAATTTCTAGAAGGCAAAAGCTGTATGTAATATGACGATAGTTAAGTAGTATTTATTAACAACACGGAGGCGCGAGCCACGTCCATGTGATGTCATTTACTTTTGATTTCGGTGTAGGTACTAGGTATTACAAGATAAAAATAATTTTAATTTGGGCCGAAATTGACAGGCGAATAATAGCGGTGATCAATAAAAACGACTAGGGTTGACAATAGTCGGAAAGTACCACCAGCACGTGCTCGCGATAAGACCGGACGCATTGTTATCGGTGTTTTCCTTCCTTATTATTTTTAAGACGACCAAGGCTCATAAACACGATCGTCTACAGTATTATATTACATACAATACACGACCAGTAACAATTTTAAACTATCTGCGGAAATAACCTTTGACTCATAGGTGGTTAAATGAAAAAGTCATTTTTCAGATCACTAATTCGCATTTTTTCCAAAAATAATTTGGTATACTTGATTAATATATTTTTCAAAGATTTATTTTTAATTTGTAAATGCCCTGTATCTTTTTAAGGATTAAATAAAAGACGGTACAAAAAAATTCGCATCCCTACGACGTAAAACATTAAAAAACTGATCTAGGAATCTTACTTCTCATTCTTCTAGGATGCCATAGCACAAAACATGAACAAACTTGATACTTCAATTTAATCGAAAATATCAATCACAGACTACACTGGCATATTTGTTGGAGGTGGAAATCTATCAAATAACCATGAACGAACATTGTGTTGGCGTTCCGTATCCTCCTGAATCGTATATGAACGTTAATAAAGCGTTTTAGTGCTATTTTCTGATATTTAGCCAACGTGATTATCGTAATTTGAATTTAACTTATATTCTAAGAAATATAAAGAAAATGCTTGATCATTTTGCCTTATTTTTAAATTATATTATTAAATGCCAAATGGGTCCGACTCCGGACTAGCTCACTGGCTACAATTTTGTACATGTTTCTACACATGAATCTGTATTTATATTTATATTTTATACATTTGACAAATGGTAAGAGTAGTGTATAGTTTTTATTTCTTAGTGTAAGTGTAATTGAATAATTTAATTATAAATTATCTTATTTTTATTTTAATTCTTTATATTTTTTACTAAAATAACAATGAATTATTGAATAATAAGGTTTTTGAATAATTCCAATAATTCGATTTTTCATGAATAATTTATGGATTGGTCGGATGAAAAATAAATAATAAAAGTTCGATAATTATTAATTTGTGAATGAATAACAAATCGTGTTTTAGGGAATGTTAAAGGGAAAAGTGTATTCATTTTGTTCAAATTTTTTGAAAACATTTTCATTTGAATTGAATATAAAGCCATAGTTACCTATACAGATTTTTGTGCCCCATTCTAGATCTAAATTCGGTCTAATTTTTAGACCTCGAGTCGTAAATTTTCACCAAAAAAGCATAATAAAGAAAAAGTTTCTATCTCTTCTAGAAGAAATGATATTTGTTTGGTTTGTCAACGTTTATCGGTAGTATTAAAAAAATCCCATACACATTTGGAACTTATTCTACTTTTTCAAAAACATTTATGGAGCGCCGTAATTTTAAGTTGAAAAACATGTAAATTTTTAATGAGTAAAGTTTGCTCGATTTTGAGAACTTTTGAGTACTTTTAAATTTGTTGGCCAATAAAGTACCTTTAGATACGATTTCTGATCTATAGAGTTGCTACACGAAGAAATCGGTTCAGCGGTTTATATAAGATATCGTGAATCCACACAGTAATAAAATAAAATTAAAATAAAACACATTATTGTAAAAACAATACCTCTCAGCTCAGCATCTAAGCTAATAACTCGAATATTATTTTCTCACTATTTTTAATGATATATTTTTTAATAAATAAGCGTAATTATTAATTGTATATTACCGTTAAAAAGCCTATCTAAGGACCATAGGTTAACCGTTATAGCCTTCGAAGAAAATAGAAGACAGTGGCATAAAGCAATATTTTTTTAAAACAAATTATTGTTACTTTTATTCAAATTTAGTTAGATTTTTCGCTCGAGTCATTGGTATTTAATTCTTTAGACGATAACAACGTGTTATTCCAAATTTACCATAGAAAAAGGGAATTATCACGTGGTCGCCCGGCGTTCTTCGGGTAGTGCTCTGTGGTAGGGGTGGACTGGGTGGCGTTAACGATCAGCGGAGGAGGGGGTGAGGTGGAGGCGGCACACAGAGCGAGCAAAGACGCCGGCCGGCCGCCGCATGACATCCCTACCCCGGGGCCAACAAATCTACCCCACCAAAACAGACGAACACCACTGCAGCCACCCCGGTCGTCACCGTCGTCGTCGTCCTCGTCTCGGCCACAAGCCACCGGCAGTCGTTAGAGAATCGTTCGTGCAGTCAGTCGTCGAGTTCACCACAAACGCCTGGCACATTTTTTTATCGGCGCGCGCCAAGCAACTTGACACAATTTTTTATTATTATTAGTGTAATATTACAATATTAATCGTTTTTTTAATTAAACGTAACAAACCATTCATTTTATATCAATATAAGTAATATATTTACGTCTTCGACAATTTTTTTTTTACACTTTTTATAACACGCGACCAGACTCCAAACCGCGGGAAAGCGCGGTACATGTGACTACCATTGATACACCTACCTACTCGTTGTTGGACGTAATATTTTTACTAATATTTTTTACACGCAGACGACGCTCGTGTTGTCGTATACGAATTTTTCGGCCGCCGGATTATAAAATTCTAATATAGTTTAATTTAAATTAAACCCGAGTTAACGTAGAAATTTATTTTTCTAAAACATTAATTGTCGCTCTGTCGCCGTAGTCGTCAGAATCGTTTAAACCGCAACCGACAGACTTATTACTATTATGCCAACCACGATGTTCGCCGACATGGAGTTCTCAAACAACCAGCACGGCAAAGTGATCGAAGACACCAGGGCTCTGCAAGTAGCTCTCGAGCTCAGCATGCTGTACATGAGCGGTGAGCAACGCCAGAAGACTGAACTTCCCATGTCCGGCGGCAACGCCGGTATGGTCGACTCATCTATGGTCTCTCAAAACTATAACATTCCTAACGGATTTCCGGAAGAGCCTAGGAACAAGAAGAGCCAGAACATGACTGAATGCGTGCCCGTACCCAGTTCCGAGCACGTGGCTGAAATTGTTGGCAGACAAGGTGAGCATTTTGTTTTCATACCTAGTTTTTATTTAATACCTTCAAAAACAATCATGTTTGATCATATAATTGTTTTTTTAAACAACTTTTTCGTTATTTCTACGCGGTTACAACTGTTGGGAATTATTTTTGGAATACCGGGGAATTATTGTTCGGCCGGCCGTTTTCTTATCTTAACGGTCGATTTCACGTTCGATCGTTCGAGACAATACCATCCAACCGCGGATATTCCGGTTACAATTTTAGACGACCCGGTGACCGTGTGTACCTGTTGTATGATTTATAACTCGTTTTCCGCCAATACGGATTTATCCTCGTCCTACCCTTGCCTCATGTCTAACGAGTAGTACTGGACCTTTCTATGCGCTTTGCCTGCAATCGCTTAGCTGGCCGTTAATTTAAAATATTATACATTAATACGTTTTGCTATGTACGTTGTCTCGACGTTTTTTTATAATTCCCCAGGAACCTTTTTTCCCTGATCCCACGCAATCTGATCTACCCCGACCCCTATGACCGTACTTGGTAGTGGAGGTAATGCAAACGCACGCGGGATGACGAACAGGTCGTCAAGTTTCATTAATTTTTTTAAACAAAAGCCTCGTCGGTCGTCTGCCGACTGCCGGTGAGACCACGTTGTGTGTGTGTGTGTCGGTTGCATACGGCGAGACAGCTGGCAGGAAATGGTCCCGGGGCGCCTCCTGTTTTCTCTGGTTAAAACGCCTCTTGGTTTCACACAAATAATATTATCGTCGTATCGGTTATGCTCAGGTTTGCGTGTACGTGTGTCAGATGGTTCTCGGGATGGTTTTTTTTATTATTTTAATTTCGTTTTAACCTCGGATTACGGCGGTTAGACTCCTCGCGCACAACCTTGAATTCACTAAAAGAGCACTAATAAAAAACTAATCGTACTACACCATTCCTAATGAATGACTCGTACATCTTTCGTATTTTAATTTTTGCCACCACCGTCGTAGACAGCTTGTCCCCCTTGATCTAAACCAGTGGCGTATATATATATATATATATATATATGTGTGGAATAGATCCCCCTTGGCCTTTTTAGAATAGTTATAAAGTAATATTGTATTGAGAAATACAGAAAACATAACTTCAAAAAATACCAAAAAAGGTCAAGGGGTATGATCTATCCTTCATACCCCCCCATAAATACGTCACTGGTCTAACATCATTTTTTATGCTACAATAGTCGATAATAATTATCCCTTTAGTAGCTAACAGTAAGTATTCTATATTTACAACGTTGAACTTCGGTTAAGTAGGTATGATGAGCCTCTTTAGGAACATTGACCCAATGCAGCCGGTTGTTACCAAGGCCACGGTCTTTAGCAAACATGCCTTGTGTGTGTTATATTATAATCGCGTTATGTATAAAAAAACAACTCAAGTATATTAACCCGGACAATGCTGCGGAGTTCCCGCCAAACGACGTCGTTCACAATATTAATGTCCATTCCAAGGTTGTCTGTTTCTCTTTTCGTTGGAACGTGTAAACCACGTGGTTCTCGGCTTATGTCGTCGTCAAGTATACACCGGACAGAAATAATAATAATGGGGACCATTTTAGTTTTCCGGTGGTTGTGTGTGGTATACACTGCACCATCGCGTTATATTATCATCATCGGGATATCGGTGGTCAGGTGGTCGTGAAATGAGAAAAAAAAAATTGGACCGTTTCCCCGACTGGTACCGAGAACGGCAGCTGCCCGCCGTCGAGGGGTTGGACCACATTTTCAGTATCACAATGCGCTTTTTGTACCTGTTCGACGTCGTCTACCTGTTAGGAACCGTGTGACCTAAGGTCTCGTGGTTATTCGAAATGTATGCGAACCTATATTTCCACCAGATACCATTTACTATGTGTTTAAGTGGTGTACAATAAACGCCGTCTTTTCGCCCTTCTGGCGTTCTTAGGAATTTTTATTAATATACGACGAGAAGAGAAACACAAACGAACCCGACAGATTTGTTGGGTACGTTCGGCCATTTTCTCCAATACGAAATCGATGTTTTTTACGGTTGTGATAGGCCTGTAGAATCTGATGAAAAATCATTCCACACACGCTTTCCTCCGAAACGAAAGTTTAAACCAACCTTGCGTTGATTTTCTGCATAACTAAAACCGACAGTTAGCGACAGAGCGACACGTGTAAAGGGTCGTACACCCCAGTACCAATGGCGTAGGCGTGTGCAAGATACGAAATCAATATTGCAGTCTGGGCTGCCGTCGTTGCTGTTATTATACCGGGAGTCCCACGGGCAACGAGGGTGTGTCCAACAACCCTTTGGTATACGAACGAATCTAGAGTTCTGACAGAACTTTGAAATCATAATATTATTATACCCGTTTCAACATTTTAACGTTTTAGCGTTAGTCGTGGCCACATAACTCATCAGACGGCGACCTAAAATCCAATTAGTTTCTTTCTCACCTATTGGATTTAATGAGCAAAGAATAAAAAAAACGGGGCGAGCGCTTCTCGAAGTTTAGCCGTGGTTTTTTTTACCACACATCGCCCAAAGGCGGTGGCCGCTTCGTTTTCCATCCCCTCCCTTTCCCCCGTTGCGCGTGAAGATTAGAACCCTCCGGAGTCTGCCGCTTATCGTGGCGGTTTTGGTGGCGCGTAAGAAGGTCGCTTCTCCGAATTCGCTCCCCCTCTAACTAGTAACTACACTTCCCCATGACAACGGATGTTGTTGCCTTGGATACTGGCGCACCCTCTACCGCGGCCACCGCCTTCGTCTGCCGAGCACCGTTACTACAAGCACGGGCGAGGCGGCCGGCGAAATCGAAGCTCACGTGTGCGTGCGTTTCGCGCCGACCGCCAGTAGCGAAATGGTGGGGGTTGGTCTCACCGCCGGCGAATTGATTTGTGTAGGCCGTTCACCCCGTCGCACTGACACTACCGATCCTCCCTCCCTTACACGTTCGCCGGGGACTCGACCGTGTTTTGTATGCGTGCGTGTATGTATGTTTTTTTGCCGCACGTCAGCGGTCGAAACTTTTTGGGGGAGCTTTTGTCTTTTTCCCCCTCGAAAAACACTCGTGTCACGTCACGTTTTTTTGTCCCGGGCAAACGCCGAAAATTTTATGTTTCGCCCAAAATACAGGAATAAAAACGATCGACAAATTATTTAGAACCAATACCTCACAAACATATTACGCAATAAATTCTGCGAAATCGATGAATAGTTATCGAATCTCGTTTTTTTTTATTAAAATATCCTGCCGGCGCGGTAGAGAACAGAAAGAACAATGAGACGGTGTCGGCGGCTATAGTTCAAATAATTGTATGTTATTATTACGATGTATATATAAGTATACACAAATACATACACGCCGTTCAGCAAGGTTGGAGACAAAGCGCCGGTTGAACTGCCTCTATCAAGGTGAGCGGCGTCTGCTTCCATCGGTTATCGCCACTGTTAAGACTGTTTAAATTACTCCCACCGCCCCGTTGCATAAACTCGACCACCAATCTTAAACATGGCGCGGCGTGGGGAAGGGGAGACCAATGTAATAATGAACCTTATTAGTTTTTTATTCGATGATTATTTGCAGTACTTGGAATGAAGTTTTGACCGATTTATAATGTTTAAAAAAGCATTAATAAGGAGACTCGTGGAATGTACCCTCTCCTCCCCTTCCCCGACGGTCGTGTGTGTTTGGTAATAGAAGAAAAGGCATGAATTCAAAATGTTTTATTTAGTCGATATCATAGTATATAATAGTGTAGCGACGATGAGTTGGGGTTTGGTGTCAACTAAAGTGGATGAAATACAACTACAGTAGTTTTAGTCTAATTTTAATATAGATTTTAGGGGAATGGATATAAGAAATTTTTTTTAAGTTTTACGTTTTTAAGAGAGTTGTCGGGTACATTAAAAACAATGTTTTGTATGATATAGCCTGTTGGACATTTGTAAATCGTTCGCAATATGAAGGGAAATGGCATATACATATAAATAAACTAAAATTATTCATTCGGTTAAAGATTATTATTGATTTATTTAGGTTGCAAAATCAAGGCCCTGCGCGCTAAGACTAATACTTACATCAAGACACCTGTGCGTGGTGAAGAACCCGTGTTCGTCGTCACTGGCCGCAAGGAAGATGTGGCTAAAGCTAAAAAAGAAATACTGTCGGCTGCCGAACATTTTTCACAAATCAGAGCTTCTCGCAAAAACATGGCTGGTACACTGTCGCCACCTGGCCCTCCAACTGTTCCTGGACATGTCACCATTCAGGTAAGTGTTTAAAACTTGCACAAATCTTTTAGAAATTAATTAAAAATGTATTCTACCAACAGGTCAGAGTACCCTATAGAGTTGTTGGACTCGTTGTTGGGCCTAAGGGTGCAACCATCAAGCGCATTCAACACCAAACTGGGACTTACATTGTTACGCCATCTCGCGATAAGGAGCCCGTTTTTGATGTCACTGGTTTGCCGGATAGTGTGGAAACTGCTAAACGTGAAATTGAAGCCCATATAGCTCTGCGTACAGGCAATGGTTTGATGGATGATGAGAATGGTGTAGCTCTCGCCGCATTATGCAAAGCTAATCCACTGGCTGGTCTTTTCGACCTCACAGACTCAATGGGCCCTGCTATATTATCTGGCAGTTCAGGATGCAGCTCTGGATCAGTAAGTTCATGTGGTTCGGGCATTTCGGCAATTGGCGATTTGGGTAACATTTGGTCAGATGAAGGCATTGGTGGAGAATCTCCGTCTTTTGAAAATGTTGGCTTGTGGGGATTTATGGGATCATCCAGACCTTCACCAGCTAGTTCAACATCACCTCCACCCGCCAAAAAGACTTGCATGGTGTGCCACATGAGGGATATCGATGCCGCACTAGTACCTTGTGGCCACAATTTATTCTGCTTGGACTGTGCGTCTAACGCTTGTGACTCCAATGGTCTTTCCAGTTGTCCGGTATGTAAAATGCCGGCCCGCCAGGCCATTCGCATCATCTCTTAAACACAAAGGATACATATATATAGAGAAAGTACCATAAATAAATCCCTTTTATTTAGTACCTAAATGATTCCTATAAACAATTCCAAAACAATTAGTATTAAAGGTAGATTATAGACAAAATGACATTATTATTATAATTGCTCTTTTGTGGAACGAAAAAAGGGATTCAATCAAAGGCTGATTGATTTAACTGACGAACATTACAAAACGAGTCATTTTTTATTTAGTTATTATTATTATTATTATTAAATTATTATTCTTATTTAAAGAATTTTTATTATTATCCATTTGGTTATTGTGTATTTTGTTGATAAAATATGTTATTTGTTTAGTTTTTCCTCAAATTGACTGACGATCTCTATGAGAAGTCGTAATTTAAATGTTCTCGCCAGAAAACATGACATTTTAAATATTAATTTTGCCAGTGTTAGTGTTTAATAATTTATTATCAACAAATTTTTTCTCTGAGTTTTTTTTTATATGATGTTAGATTTTAATAAATTACTGTGAACAAATGTTAAGAGTTTGTTTCGGTTCTACTCACGACTGTGTAAGATAAATAATATTGTATACTGACATATCCCTTGTTAAGTTTTTTTACAAAACAGTTTAAAGAAATTAGCAGCACCTAATCTCCAATATATATTGGAACTTGGTGCTAAATATATACTTTTTTCTTCACAGTTTAAAAAAGTTTCTAATTAATGTAAAAGATTATATATAATATATAATAATTTATAATTATAAAATACTTAAAGCTAAGTTACATTCAAATAAGCCATGGTCATTTTATTTATTATTTTTTTTTAAAAATTTTCTTTTTTACATATATAAACAAATTTAAAAATATATCTATTTATAAATATATATTTTATAAATTATTTAAAAAAATCCATTCCGAAGCGGCACATTTTAATAACAGGTGCAGTGATCGGGCTGTGATTTAAACTGCCAATTTTTTCCATTACCCCGACATCTCACCAAAGTCATTTAATAAGGAAATTTAGACATTTTTTACTAGCTAATTAAAGCTCAATTTAACTAAAATACAATCATTTGTTAGAATAAAATAAAATTAGAATATAATATTTTAGCACCTTCACCACTCTACAAACAAAGACTGGAAGAAAATGTAAAATAAATATAACCCAACATCAATTTTTTATTAATTTAATATATGTATGAGTGTGTGTTTGGTGCAAAAGAGGCATTTGCAAAAGTAATAACCTAAATTTTTATATCTACTTAATAATTATATAATATTTATAAAAATTTATAATTTTTATATTAAATAAATTGAAAATTATTTTGTTATTATAAGTCCTAATATTGCCAAATGTATAGCCTTTAATATTAAAATGTGCCATTTCGCTTAAGAAAAAAAAATATTTTTTTCAATAAAAAAATAATTTACATTTTGATATGTAGCATCATTAATTATATTAAATATTTATTAACAATATAATTGAATCTTAATTTATGTCTAAATACTTATTCTTATATATATAATATATGATGTTGTGTAGTACCTTTAGGTTTTTAGAGTGATTGAAGTAAATGTTATATTGTAACTATTTACGTACTTATATTATGCTAAAATTGATTATTTAAAAAATATTAAAAAAAGTTTTCGTTTTCTAGAGATATTATACTTAAATAAATTGTATATTTTTGTTATTTATTAAATACTCCCCGCCCACCTCCCCTATCATTATTACCCCACCCCTTACTGCATTGTTAAGTATGTAGGCTACTTAGTTAACTTTCTTTTTATTATTATTATTTTTTTATACTTTTTTATTTCATATATTTATCTGAAGAAAAAACTAATTTAGTTATTTACATTTTAATTATTAAATATTTTTATTATTTAGTTGTGATGTTTTATTTTTTAATAGTATTTGATGTTAATATTGATACTTAAAAAAAATATACCGAACTAGTATTATTTATTAGGATCTTTTGTTTATTTTTTTATTTAAACATTGTTCAGGTTTATTTCTTAGTGCACATTTTTATTAACCTTTTTTTATTAACATAAATAAAAAATCTTATTGCTTTTTATGTTTTGTGTCTTGAATTTGTTTTGTTTATTTTTGGTTATATATATAATTATGTGTTAGCTATACATAATACACACAACAATTAGTACCAAAATGATGTTTTTCTGCATTTACGAGAAAAAATTGCTTTGATGTTTCCATATACTGCATTTAATACTGTTTATTTCTTATACACAAATAAGTTTTATAAATTTATTATTTACTGAAAACTGAAATTTTTTGTGTCCATACGTATAAATGGCAAACAGACCATATGATAATCATTAATGCAATTATATGTATACATACATAGTATATTGATTAATTCCATTTTTACATATATTTGAACTTGGCCTTTTTTTTAAATTTAAGAGAATGGCAGTCTCTTGTTATTTATGTATAGCAAAATTTAGTAAAAATATATTGTATCTAATATAGACATAATATAAAATTAATTACATTTATAAAAAGTGTAGGAGCAGTACTGTTGTTTACGGTTTTCTATATCCAATGATTAATTAATCAATGTTTAAGTTGTATTAATTATTAAGGTTTTAGATTATTATTATAATTACATGGTTGTCATGCTTTTAATTATTAGAGTGATGGGCTTGATATATTCTTTTTTTTTTCAATGTTTGGATCGCAGTTTACATTATTTCAGTCTTTACAAATCAGTATTAATATGAAACATGATTAGACTTGTACACACTCTTGTCATTTAAAGGCTCCATTATTTGTGAATTAATTTATTAAAATGATTGCCTTTAACGTTGTTAAAAAATGATATAATATCCTCATCTTTTTGTTTTAGATCTCAATATTTTTACTTTGCATTATTATTATACTTGCAAATAACAAGGACTGATTATAAAGCAATAATGAAAGTATAATGTATTTAAAATAAATATTTATTTTTCATTTTACATTTATTGATATTTGAGATAATAAGTAATAATCAAATAATGTTCACAAACATCAACAAAATACGATTATACTTCTATAATCATTCTTTTGTTGTTTGATTAAGTGTAATTGTGTATTTGAAACTGCTCATCATCCCTATAAATAATTTATAATTAAATATATATAAGTAAAAATTTAATTGTATTAGCGTTTAAAATTTATATAATTATGTTTTTGTGTTTCTATTTATAATATTATATTGTAAAAAAGTAACAGTGAACTTGTAACTTTAACACATAAAGGAGTCCTAAATAATTGTTTTTTCAATATAAAAAATATATTGCTACAAAATTTGTGTTTTTATTTCAGTTTAAGAATTAGTGCACATACATTTTATTTGGATGGGTGAACTATGTTAAGAGTGGAAATTTTACAACTGAAACATTCTTAAAATCGGGAACCTTAATCAAAAAGTCAATAATTGTAATAACCCTATTACAATATTTTATCAGTTGAGAGTCACAGCCAATAGATGAAAAATAGAGAATAGATTGATTGAGACCGTGGGTGATGATCTTACAATTAGCATAGAATTTAAATTTTAAGACTGTTTTTTCACGTCTCGGGTAAATGGCAAAGAAAAGTTGCTTTAATCCCATATTTTTTAAATTGGGAAACTTAAAAGAAATTTGATTTGGAGCAGATTTTTTTTAGGATTATTTATTTCTACTATTTAGATTAAAATATATCACTGAAACCACACATTTTTGAAAATAACGGACACCATAATATAATTAGGATAGTTATTTAGGATTTAGTGGACTTTTAATGCCTACACAATCTCAGGTAAAGTACAGCGCTGTGTTAACATTAGTATCTAGAATTGTTGCTGCCTTTTTATAAAATTAATATTCAACTAATTTAGAGGGTATTCCAATTGAAATCTACCGAAACCCAAAATAAGGACCACCATCCAACCAATATACAGGGTGATGTTTTTAAAGTGATATATCACCGCTCAATATCAATTTAGGCCATACTATATATAGGGTTTAATTAATAATTACATTATTTTTTCATGTAATATTTTTATACGAGATCTCAAGTTTTCACAAACCTTTCATATTAATTATATTTATTTAAAAATAAACGGTAATGTATATATATATATATATATATATATATTTAGAGAATGTTATACACCCAATTTGCTAGTGTTAAAACATACCTACCCAGAATGTGTTTTTCTCGCTCCGTGATGATTTTAGAGCAAAATGTGTACTCTATGTATAATAAAAACATAAGAAAAAAACACTTCTGTTGATTTCATGTTTATTTGAAATATCTATATTTTGTGGACAATGAGTTGAATCAGTACATCAAAACAGTATTACCTGTAACTATTTATTGTAAAAATATGTAGCAATCATATTTCATATTTTTGTTAAAAATATGATAGTTAACACAGTTATTTACAAGTAATATAATGAAAAACAATCATTTGATTTTGATTATATAAAGTTATTTAATACTTATAAAATTAAGTCCATAATTAACCATGTATTAGTATTAACAATACATTTATAATGGTTTAATATAAAGAAATTAAACTTAAAACTATTTAAGTAAAATTAATTATCATTGAAAAAAAAATCACAAACATATAAAGTGTATATTGTTATTAATTAATGCATTTTTGAACAAAATTGTAAAAGTGATAAAAATGTGCAAAAAGTTTAAATGTTTACATTCCCATTATTACTTTTACTTGATTTTTCCCATTATTTCTTGGAGTCGTTTTCTAGCTGCTATTACTCGGTCTTCTTGACTTTTGATATCCTCTATTGTAATATTAACTTCCTAATAAAAATGAAGAGGTTATAAAAAATATAGATTATTTATGTATCAAGTTATAACTATTATCTGGCATGAACAAACTTGTACAAGCGGTTGATCTGGAATCCGGTATACAATTTCTTTATCATATTGAGATCTCATTGGAGGTTGTCCAGTCACTGGCACAGCACAAACATGTAAAGCAGTAGCAACACTTTGTAGCAAAGTTTCATCTCTAACGTGTGGTCCAGCTGGCCGCAATAATCCAGTCCACCTAGTTCCTAATTCATAACCATCTTTTTCTGAAGCTCTGATTCCTTCCAACCTTTTTTCCCAGAAAACCTAGATGTAAAATTATAGGTTACAGTAACTATATTAAAAGGGAAACAAAAAACAGTTTACTTGTCTCGGTTTTTCTTGTCTGCCGTGTTTAAAATCAGATTTAACTTTACCCTCTTGATTCTTATAAACAGTAACTGGTTGTTTAAAAATTGAAGCGGTCTGTCTGATAGGAGGCACAAGAGCACCTTCGCTTCTTACACCACGACTATAATTATTTTACAAACATTAAAAATATAATTAGACAATCACACAATACAATTATAACACTTAAAATGTAATTATTATTAATTAGAATTGTTTTTACAATGATGTAGTGTAGACTAGTAACATGATTATTTCTAGTGGGGGATGTATAGGGTATATCATATAATACCAGAATATTTTAGGAATAACCAAAAATACTCGATATTACAACATAATATTAAGTTAAGCCTCTTAAGTTAGCAGGACATTTTTTCCAGCATGATTGGGTAGCGCAACAATTACTATAGAAGGAGGAGAGAAAGGTGTTATACCCTTATCAGGTGTTATTAGTTAACTACAATAATTAGATAGCAAATGCTTAAAGAACTACAATTTCTTCTATGCTTAAGGTTTGATTTTGTAAAATTTTAGTAACCAAAGTATTAACACGAAGCAGCTTAAAAATATTGTTTATCTCATAATTCCATAAGAATTGTACTGTTTAATTCCAAGAAAACTAAAGCACTGAATAGTAACAGCTCATTAATAAAATTAAAATATGATGTATGAGGTATTACCATAAAATTTCCATTTCTTCAGCCTGTGTTTTGAGGTATAATATTTGTTCTCTTCGTTTTTCTGCACGTTTCATTCGCGATATCCGCGCTTTTGTTTCTAATGACTTCTTTTTTAACCGGGGCATTGTGAACTATCTACACAAATATCTGCTAACAAACACAAGCAACTATGACTATTATTATGTTATTATACATCCAACAAACTTTGATGTCACTTAATTAATTAAGTGCATATTAATTTGTAAATTCAATACAATAACACACTTCAATTATGTGTACGTACAATTAAACAATTTCTAAGATTCACTTAAAAACGTACAATTTATTTAAATTAATTACTTATTTAAATAGATATACACTATACAATATTCGGCAATCAGCAGTATAATAATATTATTATTATTTATAATGATAAAAATTGTACATTACTACCATAGACCTATAAACATGGTAACATTTTTGCCGTGATTGAAGTTATCTATTGTTGATAACGCCATAACGGGCATTGGGATGGAGCCAGTCATGACTATAGACGCCATAGACAAGTATACGCCGGGCACTGAGACACTCAGCGCTGCAGGGCTCAACAGCGCAAGTTTATTTTCCCCTAAAAAAACATTGAAAAATGTAATGTAAAATTTATAAAATTGTTATTTTAAAAAATGATGGTAAATTTTTTTATTCTTATCAAGATGTAAAATTGATAAAACCATTCGCTTTAAAACTGTAATGGATTTTAGAAAAAATTCGGGAGTCGCGTATACCTTAGATTAAATATACATAGATAGGCCACTGCAATATCCCAAATGGCAACCGCTTTTTTGTTTCTTTATTTTTGGAGAGATAGCGCAGCATACCTTTATGGACAAAATATATTATATTAAATATTAAATAATAATAAATGTTTTTTTTACTACTACGGCAACCGCGATCGTCGTTCTACGGCTGACAGCCGCATGCAATCGATAAAACCGGTTTTATATTACCAAGCCCGTCTATTATTATTCTATTATTTGATAAAATGAAATGTTTTATATTTTACGCGGATTTCATGTTACATTAGCAAAATCTTTTTTAAACAATGTCATCTCGATTTTTCACAACTATTTTGTTTTTACCCCCTCCCCCTCCCCCTATCAAATATATGAATATTATATTTAATAATTAAAACAATTATAAACAACAAAAAATTCAGTAAAAATACGAGAATACCAAATAGACTATCAAAATAAATTAACAACATTAAAAAACATAAATAAATAAATAAGAAACCCCAAATAAAACATACTATTCAAAAAGGTTTAAAAACCTATTTAACTGAAGAATATTTGATTCTTTCAAATAATCAATTTTTTATTTACATTATTTTTAAAATTTAATTTAATTTTATTGTTTACTTTACGGGGCTTTTTCTAAAAAAATATGAATTATTTGTTGAGAATTTGTCACAAAACTAATATCAGAATAGGTATGCGTTTGAGCATTTGAAGGGCTGCGGGGAAAAAAGATCAATGTCAATTTTTTACATTCTGAGAAAATCATGTTTTTAATTTCAAAACGTAATACATTTTGCCTGTACGCCTAAACTTCCGGCGGTCGTTACTCTCGACTTATCTTTTTTTTCCCTGGTTGGAGCTCATAAAAGATACAATTCATCAATACAAATAATTTGATACCAAAATCTCATTTTCAAAAAAAATTGACAATGATCTTTTTTCCCCGCAACCCTTTATTTAATAGTTAACAAAAGTCAAAACTGTATAAAACCCTAAACACTTAATAATTAAAATATAATTATTAAATTATTATTTATTATATTTATTTACTTTAAGTTCTAAATTACTCCAGAGAGTAACATTGTAACAATTATACAATAAATACCTATACTATATTACTAATTCACATTTTTTTTTTTTTGGCTCTGGGAAGGTTGAACTCGAACTCCCCCCCCGTAAGTACGCCACTGTTCTTATCCAAATATTTCAATAGCATTCAATAACGGTCATCCTTCGGAGAACTGTGTAATTTGAGAGCTGGGTCTTCTCTTTTGTTTTTCCCGCAGTTAAAAAATACACACTTATTTCCTCTTAATGTGCTCATTGTTATGTTAATTAATTGTTAAAATAATACAAAAAAACAATGAAAACAAATAAAAAGTGAACTAAAAAGTAAAAAATAATTTTATTACAAGAACAATTTACCAATCAATTGTAGCACATTTAATTTAAAATGTCAATTACTTTGAAAACAACCAAATATTTACTACAATTTTAAATAATATAAAACATCTTTAATTTTTTACTAATAAGAAAAGCGTGGGCCCTATTCAACAAAGTCCAAATTCATTGGGTTAAGTATTATTTCATTGGCTAAGTATTATGAAATGTTTGTGTCACACACAAATATTGAACCAAATTAAAATTACAAAAGAACTTACAATATAAAACATTATCTGATAAATTTATGAGGGACTTTGTTAAATAGGGCCCACGCTTTTCTTTTTTGTCAAAAATTAAAGATGTTTAACATTATTTAAAATTGTAGTTAATTTTCGGTTGTTTTCAAAGTTTTTATTTTTTACTTTTAAGTCCAACTAAAGTTACTTAATAATTGGTTGAATAGGTTACTACTAAATTTTAGTGAAATGACTCCCACATTTGATTCTGCGTAGGGCGACCTGGATGTCCGAATCCTAATATGATTACAGGATATTGTATTGTCATCCGAGATGAGTGTCTGTGCCACGTTTCAGCCCTTTACGACATAAGGAAGTGGGTTAAATTAATTTTGCAAGATTTGAAAAATACCCGTTCAAACGTACGTACGTGTTAGCGAGCTAAAGAATAGCATGGTAATTAATGTACGAGTTCAACTCATTGAGGCTAGAGCTAAAATAAAGTTGTCAATTCTGATTATAAAAAATAATTGAATCTTTGGGTAGGTATTCAGCTTTTTTACATCAAAACATAAATAAACAACATAAAGTGTGTAGCTATAAAAAAATCGATGGTAACGATAACTTGTAATAATTTATACCCTCATATCTTTATTACACCCTGTCTTTGCCCGCTTCTAAGTATGTCCTTAACTACAAGACTTGTATTTCCTATTATTATTATTGGTTTTTCACATGTAGACTCAACTACTTATAGTTTTGTCAATGAACAAACAAATGTGTACCTAATACACACACTTGGTCCTGCGATTTATTTAAAGTTCACGAGCTCACATAATTTAGGGGAGTAATTTCCATGATATGCTATTCATATTTTTAATTTATTATTATGACAATTTATAATTTAATGTATTTAATCTTTGGTATTAAAATTGTTTTAAAAAAATCGAGTGTTTTTGTCTATAAATAAATTATAATGTACTTAATCTATGGACAAAACAGGTTTTGGAAGGAATGAGGTGATCCCACGCTTTAATCCGAACAAATATGTTAAAATTTAAATTTAAAGCAAAATTGATCCAAAAAAATTAAGCCGAGTTTATTAAATTTATAGTTAAAAATAAAATATACTCCTGCAAAACTTAAATTTCGATATTATCGTGCATACTTACTTACTACATAGACTAAATAAATATGCAGACTTATGTATTTAATCTAAACTTACTAGTGTTGCCAGATTTTTAAGTAGGTTATTAGTAAAAATCCTTAACCAAAACTAATCAAAGGTGTAAAAAAAGTAGAGAAAATTAGAATTCTAGTACTTCATGATAATATTATGTATGGAAATTTCATACATAACATTATTATATGAATATAATTAAATAATGTTTATAATATTATAAATGAAGTCAAAAATAAAAAATTTAGATTGCCGCGTAAAGTTTAACCAATAGAATCGCGCGACATTTACGCTATCTATCAACATAATCGCCTGCGTCCAACGTATCGTTTCGCTGCGTCCATTCGTGATAAATATGGGGTGGCCAAAAATTTACACGGGATGGCCCATCTATATGTTTTTAATCTATGATGAAGTGCCTAGTGTCTATAAATAAATGGTTGTACCACAGAACCACAGGTATAATATATAATATTGATATAATAATATATACAGATATATCATATATATAATATGCATTGATAACACACATAAATCCCACCAGAATGGCGGACCGTCGGCCTCAATTATTATCGCTAGCTAGCAATCTAGTTTATTATATATATCTGTGTACAAAATAGACTAAATATTTAGTCTATTCTGTGGTTGTACATAACTTTCTATTTTTATAACAGATCTATGATTATAGTATAAAAATTGATTTTATCTAATGTGGCTGCACTGTAAATTTGAGTCTTTTTGTCGCACCAATATTTTGACGGAACGGCTCCTTCATACTACCACCACTTGGGACATTGAGCAGTAGATTGAGATAACAATGATAACAATGTGTTAAACATTTGAATTATCAAGCCTAAAGAATTAAGCAAGAATATCTAATTACTTATAGATGAATAGTTTAGTGTAAATATTTATTGTTTATAATGTTTACAATTAAAGCTAAATTTAATTAGTTTTTTAAATTTAAAACCATTAGTAATCACATATCGTTCTACCATTCTTCATGTTACTGTAAGTATCTACAAAGTTTTATTTTATAATGTGTTTTGTTAGAATGTCAATTCAGTTTTTAATAAACTATAAGTTGTAAATTGGTTAAATTGAACTTTATAGTATTTTGACACGTTATGTAGTACCTATTTTTTTAAAACATAGTATAATTACACCAGAATTGACAAAAAATGCCATATCAACTTGGGGCATTCTACCACAGTCTCATAAAATTAAAATATATTTATACATGTATGTATATTTGTTTAGGTAATTTGTTCAAGTTCTCATCATGACTTGTAATTGTGTGGATGCTTCCATTACTCCATTGTTTGGCGTACAGACATTATTTGCCGCTCAACATACTTCCGAATCCTGTGGCACTAATGGTTTACCATTAACTCCAAATTCGATTACAATTTTGGGGCGAGCTCAAAGACTGCGTACTTTAAGCCATTCAAATTTAACTATTCATTTAGACTTCATTCGCAAACAGCATGGGCGTATCATTTTAATATCTCAATGCTTTAACCACTCTCTGTGGACTGAATCAAACTGTTGTTCATTATTACTGCCATTGGACAAAATTTTATGCTGGATACATGAAGTTCTGTTAGCATTAAGTTATCTTAATTCTAATGGCCTGGTACACAGGTTTTTAACACCAGAAAATATATTGCTAGATGAGCAAGATAATGTTAAATTATTTAACTATGGCCTTTATTATATGACAAACAATGGTAAAAACATAAGTTTCCCTATAGGTAAACTAAAATACACAGCACCAGAAGTGCTGATACTTGATCATATACAAAAGAAATCAGGTCCTAAAACTGATTCTTGGTCATTAGGTATTATTGTACTGGAATTAGTTCTTGGAACACAGCTTTGGCCAACTCTTAAACTTAGTCAAATTATTCGAAAGATTTTATCATTGACACATTGTTCAGATATTGTTATAAGATTGGCCCGTGAAATGGGTCGCTTATCAATGTATCAATCTCTGCCTAACGAACTCAAAGATTTCCTTAGTAAATGCATATGTATAGATGTTACTAAAAGAATGCGGCCAAAAGAACTGTGTACACACCAGGTGTTTTCATTATTTGGCAGTTCTAAAATATTAAAGAATAAATGTTATTCGTGTAAACATCCATTGAGAAAAATGGATCTTGCTCAAATCTACTACTTGTGGAAATTAGCAGGCGGCGATGTAGAGTGGGCGTTAAAGAAAAAGGGATTGATGCGGAACGAATCTTCTGTATTACTTTTACCACGATTAATAACTCTCGAAGGAACTTTTTACGGCATTGCACGTAATCAAAGTTGTTTAATGGATTTGCAAGTAGTAGAGTTATCTTTAGATTTGCTCGCAAATCGATTGCAGCATTTGCAAATTACAGATTATGACCCATTACTTGAAGAATCAAAAGAGCGTTCTGACGTTACCAATAAGCTACCATTAGTTATTCGAGAAAAAGACACTGAGTACCAATTCCATCGAGTAGTGTTGTTTGATAGACTTTTATCTGCTTATCCTCATGAATTGGACAGACTACTTACTGAAGCCAAAAAAGATATTCCTCCTTATTATAGAGGAGAAATTTGGACGTGTTTGTTGAATGTGTCTGGTGATACTGAAAGCACATATTTGGCCATAGACAAAGAAACTGCTGGCGTTACAGACAGACAAATAGAAGTTGACATACCAAGGTGTCATCAGTACAACGATCTACTCTCATCTCCTGTTGCCCATAAAATGTTAAAGCGCGTTTTGAAAGCTTGGCTTGTTAGTCATCCTAAGTATGTTTATTGGCAGGGGCTAGATTCGTTGTGTGCTCCATTTGTGTATTTAAATTTTTGTAAAGAGCATGTAGCATACGGTTGTCTGACGGCGTTTGTTAAAAAATATTTAAATGATGTGTTCCTAAGAGATAATTCTTCCGTCATACGGGAATATTTGATCAAACTTTCTCACTTGATTGCGTTCCACGATCCAGAGTTGGCCAACCATTTAGACGACAATGCTTTCATACCAGATCTATTTGCAATTCCCTGGTTTCTGACCATGTTTTCGCACGTTTTCCCCTTGCATAAGATATTCCATCTCTGGGATAAACTTTTACTAGGTGATTCTTCATATCCATTATTTGTAGGATTATCTATCTTGAGTCAACTGCGCAACACTTTATTGAACTCTGGCTTCAATGAGTGCATACTTTTGTTCTCAGATTTACCTGAAGTAGATATTGAAAAATGTGTTACAGAATCATCAAAGTTTTACGAGGCCACTCCCAGGTCCATTACTTTTAGAAAACATGAGTTGAGGATAGAAACCCAAGATTTAGACCCGTGTTTAACTTACCAGGTATTACAAGGTGAATTTTGCCCACGCATAAGCGCTTATGATTTATTAGACTTGAAAAGATCTTGCAACAAGTTCCTGGTGGTAGATACAAGGTCACAAGAGTGTTACGTAGAAAGGAGTATACCAGGTAGTTTAAATATTTATATTACGGAGGATCAGTTGAAAAATGAAAATTTTGATCTGGAACCCAGTCCCGAGCTTAGTGCGCTGGTGAACAACAAGGGCAGTGTGTTGATCGTAGTCGACAAAATCGACAAGTTTGACAAAGTTCAAAAGTTTTGTCGATTCTTAGTATCGAAAGATTATCCGAAAGTGTGCTGTTTACATGGTGGTATTGAGTCCTTGGAATCATTTAATATATTGGTACCTGCAATACCATTTTGACCAAGACAACAACATTTTTAATTTAGTTGTTAAAAAATTTAAGCTTATATTGTTATTATTATTTTTATTGATATTTAATATATTTTTTGTACTAACTTTACTAATGCACAAAAAACTTGTTATAATCTATTTAAGTATGATTTATTTTGTTTATATCATTATTTAAAAAAATCCTAATTATTATTGTTCAATTGTTCTCATTTATTTATTAATGTTCCTTAAACGTTAAACCCTAATTCGTTATTATTATTAAAAACATTTTTTTTAACTACATAATATACAGCGTGCTAGTTCCTTATTGAAAAGTTTTTTATAGAAATTACATGAAATAAGTTATAATTTCTAAAGTTATAACTAAACAATTAACAAAAATACATGAGGTTACAATAGTAATACGTTTCCCAATGTTTGGGTACTTGTAGGTTAAAAATGTAAGGCTATAAAATGCTATAATATGTTAGAGACGTGTTTAATGATACAATAATATTCTGGTTAAGGGTATATTTTTGTGAAAATCACGTGCGATTTCAATCTTTAATGCTTTAGTTAAATATTTAAAAATATGTTAACATAAATAATTTTTGTGAACTCTGAATTTTAGAATATGAATGTTGTTTTTGTATTTGAATATTAAAAGCAATTTGTAGAAGACCAACGGCAGATTGTGAAAGAAGGCACCCGTGTATCGTTCCATGTTTAAATTTGAAAAATTCGAATAACTACCATAGCTGGAAGTTTAATTATTCGAGTGGTGTAACTACAGTCTAAAACGCATAGGTGTAAGACCATTTTCGCTATTAAGTACATATGTTAACGTGTTTAGTATTTGTAGTTAGTTACACTACATACTAGAATATACCCATCCCTAATAAACAATAATAACCTTTATATTATAAAATCAACGATGCTTCTTGACGTTCTTCAAATTAATTAAAAAATGTTAACCTCTATTTTTCGAAGTATATGCCGAAAACATTAATACAATTTTAATGAAAATCTTAGATCGGCGAGTTCAGATCATTTTTAACCTAATTAGAAATAGGTCCATCCGACCATGGCGTTACCGTGCTGCAAAATACTCTGAAATCAAGAGTCTTGGTATTATAATTTGTTTGTACTTAAAACAAACATACTCACGAATCACGCGATGTTTATTTTAATCGTATTTTATACTAAATGAATGATAGTAACAACAACCTTTCTTTTTCAAATGTACGACGTGCTGTGCCCTGGGAGTGTCTGTGGGCTGTGGTCATATAACTAAAAAAATCAATAAACACATGAATGCTCAACGCACCAACTCCGCAGGCCACAGCGGGAGGCATTAGTCGCGGACTTTAAGCTGCGTAAAATTACACGAGTTACACTTACAAATTAAGATTTTAAATCATTTTAATTAATTACAACATCCGGTAAGTTTATATACATTTAATTGTACATACAGATACCGTATAACGCCCTAACAACAAATACCTAATAATAAAACGTATTGATGTATATCGAAATAAATTGTATGGAAACGCTAAAAAATAGGTGTTATTAATTATTATTCAATGTATTTTATAATATGCGTATGTACACGTGTGTATCTTTGCCTTTGCAAAGGTTCGTTTTGCATGTCAGGCCAACCATGAGGCGTTTATCGTCGCATCATGGCGGTAATGAAAAGGCAAAGGGTTCGAGTATTTCGACACACGCCATCCACGAGAATTTGGGGTTGGCTGGTCAGAGTGCTGCCGTTCCTGTTGGTGTTGCTCGTAGTTATCGCCATGTGCTTCATAGCTATAACTCACGTGAGTCTCTGACCTCTGTTTTTCGATTTAATTACGTTGTTAACGGTTCTTAATTTATAAAATGTTTCTTAAAATCGAATTTATTTTCAGATACCAACTGCAATGCAAAAGCGCAGTCTATCAATAAAAAATTCCGCCCGAGTAACAAAATTAAAATCAGATGTAAGTGTTAACTGAAGCCCCTAAATGATATCGTGTCTTATGGGAAATTTATGCCTTCTTTACCTTCATAATATTAACAAAATAAATACTTAGGGAATTAAATACAATGATACTAAAATATTTTTAAGTAATATTTTGTTTCAATTGAGAAAGTGTTTTATTTAGTTTCTCGAAAAGAGAAAAATCTAATATTAAATATACCCGGGTAAGACTAGCCTATAACTGCACTTTTATTAAAATATTCAACTACTACACCTAATTAATTTATTACAGCAAGTTAACAATGTGCCGAACAATGATTTTCAATTGGAACGTTTAATTAAGACAAAACCAGAAAGTGTTAGTTTATTTGTTGCTCGCTTGAAGAACGAAGCGAGGGGATATTGTTCGAAAAAACTTATGGAGCTTAAAAAGAGTATAGAAAAAACAAAACTATTAGCAGAAACATATGAATCTTGCCGTCCAAAATCATGGTGTCCTAAAATTCCACCAATTTTATGTAAGTTTTGATTTATGAAGTACAATATATTTAAAAATACTTTACATTTTATTAGTTTAGATAAAAATACATTTTAAATTCAAAACTGCAATATTTGCATGTTTGATAGTTAAAACTTTTATTTACTAAGAATTATTTCTAGTACAAATGTTTGATAAGTACTTTTACTTAATTATAATGTTTTTTCCATCGATCAGTATTTTCAAACATAATCATAATTGCCTATCATTGAATTACTTTAATTATGAATGCATCGGACATTTTTTTTACAAAATAGGAATTAATTTTTTTTTAAATAATGTATTCCACTATAGGACAAATTGTAGCATATGAAAAGCTGAAAAACAATGATAATATAGTTAATATTTCCAACTTGAAAGTTGGAAATTATTCAAAGTTTCAGAGCTCAACTTGTTCTACAGTCATAGGTATTTTTGAAACTCATTTTGCAGATTGAGGTATTTTTGCCACAACCCTATTCTTGGATCGATTTTTTGGAAACAAACCACAAAATGGTTTTATTTACTATTATTTACAAAAAAATTACTAATTGTTTTTTCCCACACCTCTTCATATGTTACCAACTCAAACTAATTTTAAATTTGAATGGTCTTTAGATGGTGCTGAACAATTAAGTAGTGCTGTGATCAATATGACTAAAGAGGAAATCATTGATGCGGTTGGTGCAATGAACATAGGTGGCTCCTGGGCACCCGAAGATTGTAAAGCTAGGCATTCTGTTTGTATCATAATACCTTACAGGGATAGACAGGATCATTTATGGACACTACTTCATAGACTTATACCAGTGCTTAAACGACAGCAGCTGGATTTCAAAATATTTGTTGTTGAACAGGTTTGGATTTACTTTCAAAATTATGATTCTATTTATAGTTTTAACTAAAGTGTATTTTATATAATACCTATAATCACTATATGTGCTAGTAGGTCAGTAATGCAACTTTCAATAAAGGAGCTATAATGAATGCAGCGTTTTTGACTATCTACCGTACTTATGGTTTACGGAATATAGATGATTGGCATAAAGGATTGTACGGCTGTTATATTTTTCATGATGTTGACATGCTACCTGAAGATGACCGGAATATGTACAGTTGCTCAGAATTTCCTAAACATTTATCAGTAGCAGTGAACGAGTTTAAATATCAGTAAGAACACATTAAAACTATTGGTCTAGCCTTGGTACAATCCAATACCAATAATATTGTATTACATTAAATATACCGTAATTAATTTATAGATTACCTTACCACAAGTTAGTTGGGGGTGTGTTTAACATACGACCTCATCATTATTTTCAAGTAAATGGATATTCCAACCTTTTTTGGGGGTGGGGAGGAGAAGATGACGATATGGGATATAGGTAAGCAAATCAAAAACAGTTACTTAATATATTAGTATTAATCTATTTATCATAGTATGTTTAAATAATCCATTTTTTAGATTAGAACAAGTTGGTCTACCGATCACTCGACCACCAACTCATTTTGGACGGTATACAATGGTTAAACACATCAAGCGCAAGCCTCTTGCTCATGCTGTTCGTTTAAAATTAGTCCATACCAGCCAAAAGCGTTATAAATATGACGGTTTGAACACATTAAAGTATGAAGTTTTTAATGTTGAATCAGAAAAATTATATACAAGGATATTGGTTGATGTTGGAGACATGCCTGATTATGTTAGATCATTCGAAGCAAAACGGACTGTTCTTAAGAAAAAGTGGAAATAAATACTATAATGCTAAGACTGGTGCAGGCAATGTGAACTTTAAAATCGTATATGGCACAACCAAAAGTTACAGAAATATTTTTTTAGTTTTCAAAGAGGAGTATGTTAGTGTTAAGAGAGAGAGGTAGGCATGGGCTATTTTCAAATTAAGGAGGCCAAATGACTGATGCACCTATGTCCAGAAATACAAATTTATTAATTTTTTGTCTTTAATTTATTGTTTAATTTTTAATTTAAATGTAAATCATTAAATCATCACAAATTAAGCATATTATTTTGTTCTCTTGGCACTTTAAGTACTGGCCATTGTATTCAATGTTCGGCTATGTTTATAATTATACGCATAGGACCGTTATCAATATATACATAAATTATTTTTTCTGCTTCAAAGCTATTTTTGTAATTTTTTTCCCTAGCTGATATTTTGTGCGGCGTGCCAGTTGTATCTTATGAACTGTGAAAAAGTATTGATTGTCTTTATTTAAATCTAATTACTCATTAATCGTGTAGATATATTTATTTAATATGTACAATAGATTTGAATTACCAGTTAAAAAAAAAAATGCAATATTAAAATAATTATTAGTTTGGTAAGTATGATAAGTCTGTAAGTACAAATATATCATTAAATAAAATAGCATTTTAAAATAAATATTACGAAATATCTTATTGTCTTATATGATATTACAGGATACAATTTTAGTAGAATTAATTTACTTTCTATCATAAATTATTAAAAACCAACAATATTAGGATTTACATTGTTATTATTACCAATAATGTGTATTAGTATAAAATGTGGAAGAAACAAAACAGAACATTAAAGGTTTACCTACATAAGTAAATATTAATTGCCACAAACAACAACAAATCTATTATATTATATTTTACTTACATTTTTTTTTTTTTTTAATAAAGACTAGACATTTAAAACAATAAGTATATATTAAATTACATTCATTCAATATGTATAAAACAAAAATATCACAATTAACACACACGGCTATATAAAAAAATGTGTTAGGAACAGAATAAAAAACATAATTAAAATAATAGGTGTATAAAAATATTACTAAATATTTACAATTAAAAAGTTATTTACAGTATGAATCTTAAGCTTTATAGTGCTATAAACATTATTTTGTGGTATCAAATCATGATTGAGTTTATCAAAATTATTATTTTTGTGTTAATCAATGTTTGAAATGTATACAGTACACAGAGTCAAATGTATATGAAAACTGTTTATACACTCTTTTGAAAAGTAGGAATAATGTAGCTTAAAAGTAAATAGCCTTTTAATAACTGTTATAACTTGTGTTATACAATATACAACCAACCAAAAAAATAAAAGCCTACCAAATAACTAAAACTAATATTACAGAAAAAAAGTTGTTTACTATCTTCATAAATATAGGAAAATTTGAAAAATAATACTAATTTAAATTTATGAAATAGGAGTCATTTTTTTAATCTCAACTCTTACTGTTATGCAACAATTTTTTAACATAAATAGAAAATTTGGTAAATTATTTAGAAAATAGAACATAACTTATACTAATAAGGTCAATTTAACCAACTAAATATATAAATAAACTTAAAAACCTCGAATAATCAATATAACTATAGTTTAAACTATTGACCATAACATTAATAGTAGTACTAACTTATTTAATAGTCAATAATTTTCTGCTCTTTGAACTAAAAAAAACACATCATTCGCTTCAATTAGTTTTTCATAAAACAAGAATATAGTAACATTTTAAATTAATTGTAAATTTACAAAATAAATAATGACAGGAATTTAAAGTTCTTCAGATGTATAGCGACCAACAACAATAGTTCTTAACATTGATCCAACATCATTTGGATCGTGCAAGGCTTCTCCCAACATTTTTTCTACATTTCTCATAATTGCCATTTTTTGATAATCCTGTAATGGATATTCAATTTTTTCTATTGGTCCAGCCTAAAAGCATTAAAATAAAATAACATCTTACTGTTTAACTGTATAGTACTTTATTTACTTTGAACCAAAAGTTAATTGAAACAGTGTAGCCACCACTCATTAATGACTCAACGTGGTGAAACCAATAAATTGGTATGTATAAAACATCTTCAGGACCTACAACCGCTTCATAACCACACGCATCTTTAAATTTAGGAAACATTGTATAATTAGGATTATCGAAATCTACCTAATAAAATTATATAATAAAATATTATCAATTAAAATGGTCATTAATAATATATTTTTTATTTTATATTACTTGACTTTGTCGATCGTAAGGGTGATGAACTGGATGGGGATATAAACATTCAAATTGACTGGGTGGAAACAATATAAATCTTTTATAACCTTTAACAACAGCAAACATATTCTGCTGTTCATCGTAATGGCATGGTGTAATGTTTCCTGATAAAAAAAAACATTGAAATTAAGCCATTTTTATGGGTTATAACTTATAATTAAATAATAACACAAATATTATTACCTTCTTGTGAAATTAAAAGTAGGTTAGATGTCAACGCACCCCATTTGCATATCTTTTGTTTAGACATAACCCAATCCCAATTAAACATAACAAAATCTCTAACTACGTGATGGCCAATGGAGTTGTTTAAAGTTTGTTGCAAATACAATCTAAAAATAAAAACAAATTATACTACGACGTTTACCAAGAATAAAAAAAATATTATAAACTGTTTACTGGCTATAATCTATTTTAGTAAAATCTGTTATTTTCTTTAGCAATTAATTTTTAATATTGAACATTACTTAGTTTTTATTCTTAAAACCACATATTATTTATTTATTCCTCCATTGTATTTATATACAATAATATAAGGCTTTGCCCCGGGTTTAGTTTGCCAGGGCAGAGTAAAATAATTACCAATAAGATAAAAAAAAGTCAGTACTCCAGGCTGCATATTGCAAAGCTTTAGCATACCCCGTCTCGCATTTTTTCTGGATCTACATTTGTACATTACATTATATTGATTATGTCCCCCTCTTACTCAAGGGTCCCAGTCCCAGTCACAGATCCAGTTCCAATTGTGAAAATGTTTAACAGCGTTCCCAGAATCGTGGTACATAGAATTGGCTTGTTCCTTTAATCATCACCTACCATTCGCTCAAGTATCGGGGTTACCATGGTTACAAACCAAGTGTTTATTTTGGGTTAGCAACGAAAAATATATTGTATTTAAAGTACAAAATTTGTGTTTGAGGCCACCCTTAGGGGTGGAATTTTCAAAAAGTACTATGCCAGAAACCTTCGCGGGAGTGTACTTAACAACTTCCCAAAGTTTTATGGCGATTGGATGAATGGTGTACTAATGCGTAAAGGACAAACAGACTTACATTCATTTTTGTAAATATTTTTTGTTAATGTGATCTGGCCAAGAAGAAATAAATAAACAAATAATTTGTTTATACAATATTGTTTTAATTCTTTTTAATTTAAAGTATTACAGATTCAGAATTAAAACAAAATAAAATTTAAGTGTAATGGTGATTTAAAGAAGTGGGGTGGGCTAACTAGGCAACCCCAGTTATTAATAGTCTTGTTTGTATTTAAATTATTGAGTGATTAGTATCAAATACAATATTATAATATCATAATGTGTATTACCTGGGAGCTCCTTTTTTCCATGTTTTCATTCTTTCAGCAAACTCAGAAAATGTCATGGAACTAGGGCGACTTTGTGGTTTAAATGTTATACTAGGTGTAATTTTTTTTTGATCATAATATTTAAATTTGTGATTTGTTGACACCATGACATTACAACATACTGAACTCATATGCTTTTGTAAGTAATCCAAATCCCAGTTCAACACACTGGATACTAACTTGGATCCTTTAATTAATACTGGTTTCTACAAAGTGTAAAAATACATTTAAAAATAAATAATAACAAATATTATACATGTTTTAAAAGTACAAACTTATGTTTTTTTTCAATATTGGTATGATTAGAATTTGTAGAAATCTAAAATTTGTAAGTACATTTTTATATTTTTCAGTAAAAAATGATACCATTGATTAAACTATTGACTAAAATTTTTATACTATTTGTAATTGTTGTAGCATTTGCATTGCTAATACGTACATTATTGCAGAGAAGCGAATTTACTTTAGGATCATCATGTTGCAAAACCGGTATTTTTTCAAACTTTATGTTATACTTCCTTAATTGGTTATTATTCCATCCTGCCATAATGTTAAAATAATTAAACACTAGTTCTTTTGTATCGAATAGCGTATACTAGTACTACATGAATGTTTTTTAAGTAATAAGGGTAGAAATATTAACAAAATTATATTTAATTAAATAAAAATACAATCTTTCTAAGACCCAACGCTTTCAAACTCTTTTCTAATTTCTATGTGTCGACCGTCGACTGTGCGAAATCTCTGGCCTACGTGCAAAATCTCACAAACTCTTTGCTTACAAAACTGAAGTATGATTCGGTTACAAACAGTATAAATAAATACCGTGTCTACGTTTTATCAATGTTTTGAAAGTGCGAGGATTTCGAAAATCACGAAAACAAAGACAATTTATGATAACACTATCTACTAAAATGTTCTAAAGGTAAAAATTAATTTGTTAAATTCCCAAAAGTAATGGGGATTTAATATTCATACAACGGCAAGATAAAAATATAATGATTTTTTATACTATATTTATAAGTTCTATAAATTAGATGTTAAGTTTAATTGAGTGCAATACATTTAAATTTACAATGAATTAAGCATAAGTGATATTTAGTATTAACACCATACCATAAAATAATTTTGGATAACATGTCTGATATAATTAAGTCGGCCTTAGACTATTTTAGTAGTAGTTTTTCAGCCGAAGATAATGACTATGTTGGTTCTAACGTTGAGTTGGGTAGTGTCAAGTTAAAGATTAAAAGACTTGTAGCTGAAGGTAAAACATATATTATAGCAGCTGTGGTTTAAGATTAAATATTTAATGTGTATGTTTAAAGGTGGATCGGGCATGGTCTTTGTAGCTCAAGCTCAAGATACTGGAAAAGAATATGCATTAAAGGTAGTGTATAAAAGCATGACAATGAATATGAAATTAATTAAATAATTGTTATTAATTGTAAACTACTTTTTTTTTTAGAGATTAATAGCTGGAGATGATGTTGCAGATAAAGCTATTTTAAATGAAATAGATGTACTTGTAAGTTATATTTATAGTTATATAGATATCTATGGTCGTATTACTCCTGATATATTTATAGTTTTCTATTGTATATATTAATTTTATTAGAAAAAATTGACTGGTCATCCGAATGTAATCCATTTTATGTCTGCGGCATTCACTAGTAAAATTGATTCAGTAAAAGGATCTAATGAATATCTCATATTAACAGAATTTTGTTCAGGTTTGTAAAAAAATGATTATTTCATCATCTTCATTTTTTTTCATCAATAAAAAACCTAATTTTTTACTTAGGCGGTAATATAGCAGAATTGTTATCATCAAGGAGAAAACCATTGAGTCCAAATATTGTAATATTGCTTTACTATCAAATGTGTTCGGCTACACGACATATGCATTGCCAGAGTCCTCCTATTATTCATAGAGATTTAAAAGTAATATAACTTTAGTCAACTGTGAATTATACCTAAACTAATTTTGAATTTTTTTTGTGCTTAGATTGAAAACTTTTTGATCAGTGATAATGGCAGAATCAAATTATGTGATTTTGGCAGTTGTACTACTAAAGTTTATAAGCCAGATGATAGTTGGACATCTCAACAAAGAGCCCTTTTAGAAGACAAGGTAATAAGAAAAACGTTTTCATTTGTTAATGAAATTAACTTTGATGTGGTTAACTTTGACTACCGTCCTAATCTTTGATGTACATTTTTATTTTATTTTCCTCAAAATTGAGAAAAACACCTTAAAGCAATAAAAATTACTTTTAAATTTTAACTACTTTAAATAAAACGCTAAGTAATGCTTATATTGTCACAATAAGGACTTTTATAGATATTTAATATTTTTATCATCTACAGAATTACAAAAAATTGTTTGTGAAAAGTATATAAACAGAAAGTCACTTTGAACCACATTCAAATTACGCATACAAAAGCGCATTACATTAAATATAATTATTCAATACTAGTTATCGACTGTCAAATTATTTTTAATTTTAAAATCCTATACAAATTTTAGGTACCGGTATTGACTTGAAAATATACCGATAAGTGGTGCAATACACAAGAACGGTGACTGATTTTATGAGGGATTCCTGTTGTCAACAGAGGTCATAGTTTATGAACTATGACAAAGGTATCTCTGTTGACGGGGAAAATTCTGCATAAATTCGCCGTTGTTGTGTATAGCAAAGCTTATCTGTGTAATCTAAAATCAATGGTTTCAGGTTAAAATTCTTCCAATCTTTCTATTCTTTATAAATATATTTATTAAAAATGATTTTATTAATATTTAGATCAATCTGTGTACAACGCCAATGTATAGAGCTCCAGAGATGATTGATACATGGTCAAATTTTGAGATTGGAACTGCTGTTGATGTTTGGGCCTTAGGATGTGTTTGTTATGCTCTTTGTTATAATCGACATCCCTTTGAAGATTCAAACAAATTAGCAATTATCAATGCAAGATTTTCTATTCCTCCATTGAATAGTTTATATCCAGAACTTATAACTATCATAAGTAAGTATATTTGGTCTTATTAATTTGAGTTAGTTTCCACACATTACAAAACAGAAATGTCCGCATCATTTATACACAATCCCTGCTTATTTGTGGGGGTATCATAAATGAATATCAAATTGATATTTATTTGGAATGGGACTTTAACTCTAGAATACTAACCTTATTTTTACCCTTTTATTGCTAACCATTCGTAGATTTGGTGAAATGTACATAAATATATAAAATTACGCTGATTGTTTTCTTTACTTATTATAAAATAAATATAACAATATAAATAAATAATAATAATATAATATATTTTGTATTATTTAAAATCATCCCGTAGAAACTAACCTTCGTTGTATCGACAAACTAAAACAGCATGCATTTTGTATGTACAACTTTGTATTACTAACTATTCGTCGATTTAACAATGTGGATTTTGCACAATCGAAGGTCAACGGCTAACTGATAACAATAGGGCTTTTTATTTTATCATTAAATATACTCAACAATATGTACGAGAGATTGATCAAGGGTAGAAGCTCATATGACAAACATGCTAAAAGTAGTCAGTTTAAAATTATCAGTATTCGTCGAATAGACGAATGGTTAGCTTTCTAGGGTTAATCCAAATTTCTAAAACCTAGATGTACTCATTACTATTATACATTTATATAAATAGGTATAAATGTATTTATACTATATACGTATAAAAAATATGTTAATAATTATTATTAAATTTATTTATTTAAATATGTACATAAATCTTGTACATTTATTTAAATATAAATACATTTTTACGTAAAATATTATAATATTTAATAAAAATAATATGGTAATAATTAGAAAGAAGTTCACTACAAATTTATATCATAGTATAATTACATTTTACATAAAAATAATTTTAAACAACATAACATTGTGTTTGTTTAAAGAGGGGTGTTTGCAACCTGATCCTTCATTGAGGATGTCTGTTTTTGAAACTTTACAACTTGTTGAAAGTATCAGAGAAACTTATAAAATAAATCTAGAATCAATAGATGTTAACAAACTTAAATCAGAAGCAAAACCTATAGAACCTTTAGGAGTCCAGGCTCCAAATGTTCCACAACAACAGCAACAACCGCCAGTGACAGCAAGGTATATTTTTTATTAACTTTGAATAAATAATTAATAGTTGTTTATTCAAATAAGTATAAAAAATATAATATTATTTATTATTAATTATTTTTTGTAATTATGCAAAATTTTATAGACAATCCCCTTCATTAACATTCAATTCTGGCCTATTTTCACAAATTCGCGGAGGAGCTGGTAGTTTTTTGAAAAATTTGAAAGATACATCTAATAGAGTTATGCAAACAGTTCAGTCGTAAGTACAATTTATAAAATTATTTTTTTTAGTTTTGTATCATACGAAATATATGGCAGCGAATTTGAATAACAATAGTTTGACAGGTCAAAAGTTTAAAAATAAATACATCACAAATTGTTATAGTATGAGTAGAGTCTCTCGTTTTTACGTTCGTTACTCCCACCGATCGGGGGTTAGACCGTTAAGATATGGCATTTTTGGGCTTATAGCTGGCTGTCGACTGGCTGTAGGTGGCCATTTCTCTCCTCCAGATAGTGGCCTGCCCGGAGGAACAAACCACCAGTGGCTGAGATTCAAACCGGCGACCATGTGTTGGCACACTACCTTATCTCATTCCGCCACTTGCCTGTCCCTTAGTATGAGCAGACTATCACAAAAAATAAGAAAACCCGGAACGGTTGTCTACGACCAGTTATTGAATAGATTATCAGTGCTCAATGTATATTTTATTGTTTACACAGTGTATGTGTTTTGATGACATGATTTTCACCTGAGGTGTGGTCAGTTAAAATTTGTTTGATCTATGTATTTTTGAACTTTTGACTTAATAAACAACTCCTTTTGAAATATTGTCATTCAAAAATTGGTTATTTGAAGACCCCTTTCTTAATATACCTATAATATACATATTATTGATTTTAAGGTCTGTTAATGTAAAAGCTGGTGTAGATATGACATATATAACATCAAAATTGGCTGTGTTAACTGTTTCTCAAGATACCAGTACAGATAATCTAATATCATTTCTTGATAGCCGACAATGTCGTTTATATAATATGTCTGGACAGTCATATCCTCGTACTATTGGGCAAACTGTTGTAAGTTTTGTAAATTTTACTATTTGTTTGAATTATTGACTTTATAATACACAGATAACTAGTGATATGCACATAAAAACAATCACTGATTTTCTGCTGTCAAGAAGGGATTCTACCGTCCACCCATTTATAAAGTAAGACAAAGGTACCTTTGCTGGCAGCGTGAAATCGGATACATTTTATAGATAAACATTGCTTATTAGTTATTTGAATATTATAAAATAATATATCTAACAGGATATATTATAGACATGTAATTTTTGTTTTTAGGTCATTGAGCTTTGTCCAAAATTAAACACTTGTCCAACCTTACATGAAATTTATGCTGTTTGTGATGATATGTATAATTATTTAAAAAAGAACCCTACAAATCTTTGCATTATTGCCCAGTCTTCTGTAATAATAATAACTTATTATTTAAAATTTGTTTTTTTTAATATTACTTTAACCACAGTTATTATGCAAATAGGAAAATGATAGTACTTCTGCATTGATTGCGCTTGCATTTTTACTGTACATGAATGTTTCCAGTACTGTTGAAGATGTTTGTACTATATATGTAGTAAAAAAATCATCACCCGTTTTACAACCATCAGAAAATAGGTAAAGTATATATGTTGGGACTTGTTAGGTAATTTAAAATTTAAGATTGTTTTAGAAAAGTTAATGACAATAATGATTCGTTCACGTATTATTATTATGTTTAGTAAGGAAGTATCAACTACTAATTATTTAATTGTTTTTTCCTAAATAGATATTTAAATTATATGGCAACTGAACAAACGCATAATGTTGATTCAATCAATATTAGACGAATAGTTATTGAGCCTGTTCCTCTTTTCAATAAAAATCGGTTAGTATTATTAAGAATAGCTTACAACTATTTAATTAATTAAAAAAAGTTAACATTTATTTAATGATTTTCATTGAAAATTATTGATTTATTTTTGTTTATTAAGGGATGGTTGCCGTCCATTTATTGAAGTATATGAAGGTTACAATAAAGTACTATCTACCGAACAAGAACATGAACGAATGACTTCTTATGATATTTCCAGTGGAAAGGTAAACATTAGGGAGGACAAATGTTGGCGTTTTTTTTTAAATTCTAATGTGAATATTTTGTTTTGTTGTAAAGATATTATTTATACTTAAGTCCCTTCCTGCTGGAATCAGAAATGATATCACAGTCATTGCATATCATTCTAGACAAGTCCTTGGTCGCCCAGTACCATTAAAAATGTTCCAATTTCAGTTTCATTCTGATTTTTTGATATTTCCTGATGGTGATGATGTTGTTATTGATTTTAATAAGTGAGTATATAAAATTAAAAATTGTCAAAAGTTTAAAAAGCAAAAAAAAAAATTAATAGATTCTTCCTGCTGCATATAGAATACTTCAGTATTTATACTTGTACTTAAGGAGGAGAGCAAAATCGGGAAAATGTCATGAAAATTAATTCATAAATAAATAAATGTAATTTTCTTTAATATCTACTACTCAAATACATTTTTTTTTTGTCAAGTTTAAAAAATCTTATGGGGTTATTGAGGCCAATTTTTAATTTTTAAATTGTAGCTATAAACTTAAAATAATGAACTAATTTTATATTATTACACTTTTTTATAACATAATTCATTTCAGGCGCGGATCCAACCTGCATTAACAAGAGGCGGATAAATAAAAAAAGTATATCAATATAAATTTATTTTAATCTTGTTATATTGTAAAATATACTATGATACAGCAAACAGAGAATTTCTATCCTCTCTGGATCCCGCGCCTGATTCATTTTAGAATAACTGTAGTACAATAAATCGCTACTATAAAACTAACTTTGTTAATATTGGGAAATAAAATGTGTAAACTAGTTTTTGTTACATTCTAATTTAAATTAATTGTGTACCTTTTAGGAGTGAATTAGATTTTATATCTACTGCTGAACACTACCAGAGTAATATGTTTCATGTTAGAGTTGAAATAGAACAACATAAAAACGGAATCTCAATGCAATATAGAACTCGAGACAACAAAATAATCCCTGATGCTTTATTTTCAACAGACAATGAAAAGGCACAGTTTTTTGACTTGTTTCCACAACGAAAAAATACATCTAAATCGATTGCTAATCATGTTATACCACAAGTAATTTTATAAAACCAAGTGGAAATTATCTACCTTTTTTTTTATACTTTTGTATATTTTAAAGGAGTTGCAAAAAAATCAGGCATGTGTACCACCTTTAAGACCAGACAATCCACCACATGTGATTGAATCAAAATCCAATAAAACTAATGAAGGCTTATTATTAAATTTATCATTTGTATCAATCGAAGATGAACCGGCAAAGTCAAAAAAAGAAGATTTATTTGATCTCTTAGGGTCTGAAAACAATAAGACTGACAATTCTAAAGATTTATTTGATGGATTCGTAGAAGCTACCAATACCAATAATGATATTTTGTTCGACTCGTTTGTTTCAAAACCCAAATCTCAAGTATTATATTAAATTATAAGTACTTTAATAACAAATGCAAATTAACTAAATCTTAAATATTATTTGAACTAACTTGTTCTTAGGAAGGTGATTTGTTGAATTTAAATGAACAAAACGTACAAAAAGTTGACAATCCTTGGTTAAATCAGTCAATTCCAATTGATATAAATAAGTCTTTTAGTAAGTAACCATGAACTCAAATGGTTCAAAAAATAAATGAATAATATTTATGTATGTATGTATATTTGTATGTAGCAGTTAAGAGTAGCAGCATGTCGAATGGTAGTTTTAGTTCTTCCAAATCAAATGTTGGTGATTTTGACTTTTTGAAAACAGACAATTGGATGAATTCAACCAGTTATTCCCAAACTAGTAATATTTCTTTTTACAATACTTAATTTTGACTTTTTTACTATACGAATAATTTTAGGTAGCCCTACAAAAACATTTAAAACTCCTGCAGAACCGGATTATAGTAGTATACATTTAGAAGAAGAAACTAAGGTTCCTCCAAAATCGTCCTTTGGTAGTGGTGATATATTTGGTGATTTGTTGGGAAGCCAAGGATATAAATTTAATTCTAAGACTAATACTGGCCCAAAAACAATAAATGAATTACGCCGAGAAGATTTAGTCAAGGAAATTGACCCTGAAAAGTTAAAAGTATGAAAGAATAAATTATATATATTTTATAATAATTTTTAAATTTTTAAATAATTATAATAATTTAGGTTATGGAATGGACTGAAGGGAAAAAAGGAAATATTAGAGCTTTACTTGGAACACTACATACAGTCCTATGGGAAGGGTCTGGTTGGAACTGTAATCTTAGTAATTTAGTAAGCTACGCAGATGTTAAAAAATCGTATCGGAAAGCATGTCTTGCTGTTCATCCTGACAAGGTATAATTACATAATATAATTTGTCAAAACTGAGTATCAATCATAGCAATAATAATATGTTTTTGATTAAGCAAACTGGAACTAGAAACGAAAATCTAGCGAAATTAATATTTGTGGAATTGAACAATGCATGGTCAGAATTTGATTCCAAATCAAGCTAATAAAAATAAAATTATTATATGTATTATGTTTTAAGAATAATATTTATAATGTTATTTATTGTCCTATATGTCCAAAATATTCAGTCTTTTTTAGAATTTTATGTTTTTATTTATTATATTATTGTACTATAACAATGTATTTTATTAAATATTGTATTGCAATTTCAAACACTACTTTTATCTAGTCTAAAATTAATGCTAAATAATACATTTATTTATATATTATTTTTTATATTGGTTCTAATTTTTAAAATATTGTGTTAAATCATTTACATGACAGATAAAATAATGATACTCCTTAAAAGACACGTGTTTTTAAAACTATGAAATTATTTGCTATAAATATTTTTTTTTGCCAACATGGACATAATTATTAAAATACATTATTCAAATTTTCTTAGCAATATATTTATATAAATCGTATTGTACATTCCATGTATACTAAACAATTGTAATACAAACACAGTTATATTATGTTTATTATTTCAACGGACAATGGTTTATACTATTAATTTATGAACATGTTGTATTATAATTAAAGTTGTTATTAATTATTATAAATTAATAAAATTGATTGAAACTCTATTGTCTATTTTACTTTGTGGCACACATGACTACTTAGAGAGATCACGTGTAACAACTAATTAATAGGCATTATTGAATATTACATGCTACAAATATCCAAAACCTACCTAACTTAATAACAAATATGATAATTCTTGTTTTTTTTTTAAATTGCAAAATTTTTATCTAATGTTGAAAGTTTGTTTACATGACGTAACGACTGACAGAGTGGTATAAGATATCAAAATGGTCGCAGTGTAAAATTGAATTCTTAATATAACGGTCATTTTTTTTTTTTTTTGAGGGATAACCAGTGACTTGTTAAACATAAAAAAGTATCTAATGATATTTTTTTTTATTCAAAATGTGAACAAACTAAGTTTAAAATGCATTCATAAGAGGAGGTATTTTAATAAACAAAACGGTGTCAAGTTTAATAATTTGTTTATTTTATATCACGGTAAAAAATTAAAAATAACTAAGAGAATATTATAATATAATATAATGTTAAAAAAATAATAACTTTATGTACAGAATTGTTAGTTGGTATATGCGAGTCACAGCAGCAGATTAATGATTTTTAAAAATACTAGTTGATGTGTAATTGTGAGAAAAGCTGTAGATAAGGGTAAATGGACAATTCCCCATTTAGGAAAACGTTTTTAGATGATACTGCTATATTTTAATTTTTAACCGTAAAGACAAAAATTAATTACGATTTAGAATTATAGTAGCTAATTTTATTTTGTTTTGCGGTCAGTGGAACAACAAAATTGCGAATATATGAAGAGCTGATATTTTTTAATTTATTCAAATTTTTAAGATGGTGGTGTTGAAAGAGTCGTGACTTGAGAACAAATTATTTACACAGTGCAACTTAGTATTTTATTGGTATAAGTGCAGTTTAGTTCCCACACGCTTTTTTCAAATTTTTTTTTTGGACTATATGTACTATTTTACGATAAAAATTATGGTGAAGTCAGATTTTGGGGGTCGGACTTACTTTTGAAGTTATAAGCAAAAACTTCATTTTCGTAATTTTTTAAAAAGTGCAATAACTTGGTGAAAATGAACTTTAAAAAAAAAATTGTTTTAAAAAATACGTATTTTTATAAGACTAAAAGAATGGTACAACCCAAATTTTGATTTCATACTTACTTTTCAAGTTATAAGCAATAACTTCATGTTCGTATTTTTTTTTAAAAACCCTATAACTTTTTTAAAAATCAACATTTTTAAATATTTTTTTTTTCCATTATATTTGTTTTTTAATTTTGAAGTTTTTGGTAAAATCAGAATTGCTCTAGCTTCATTAACTATTGAGTTATTCGTAAAAAACTGTAAAGGCGATTTTTGCGTGTGCGCGTCACTATATTATAACGGTAACGGCCGACGCGAGGACGTCTCTCGCCCGTCGTGGTCCTTTTTTTTTTTTGCCGTAATACCTTGTAGATATTAATACTAAGATTTACTTAAATTTAAACCTGTGACCTCCTCCTAGACTGAAGCCTGCAAACCTAGGATATTTTTAGTTTAGCGGAGCGAAGCGATAATACCCGGCGACCTGCCGTTTTGTGTCTCCATTAGATTTTTAAAAAAGTTATACGGTTTTAAAAAAAAAAATACGAAAATGAAGTTATTGCTTATAACTTGAAAAGTAAGTATGATATTAAAATTTGGGTTGCACCATTCTTTTAGTCTTATAAAAATACGTATTTTGAATAACAATTTTTTTTTTAAAGTTCATTTTTACCAAGTTATTGCACTTTTTAAAAAATGACGAAAATGAAGTTTTTGCTTATAACTTCAAAAGTAAGTCCGATCCCCAAAATCTGACTTCACCATAATTTTTATCGTAAAAAAGTACATATAGTCCAAAAAAAAATTTGAAAAAGGCGTGTGGGAACTAAACTGCACTTGTTCCATACAAATAGACAATAATAGTGAACATTTTAAACACTACTCATCAAATTAGTGTTTTTAAAACAACCGGTATAACGGTCTGACGAAAGTTCTGTGGAACTGCCTGGCGTACCGGTCCCAATCAGCGGCGTAACCGTTGCGGCTGCCGCTGTCGCCCAAACCGGCGATGCTACCCGCACTGCTTATTGCGCCCGTCAGCAAAGGTCCATGGTTATTCAGCATTTGCATGCACTCCGGATCGTAACCGCCATTACCGGCGCCTTGATGGTATTCGCCGTTGCCGTAATTACCTTCTCCGTTAGTAACACCGTCGTTGACGTTGACATTGGTGCTCTGGAGCACTATGGGTAAGGGTAACAAGAACCGTCCGGTGGCGGCCGTGTCCCTCCTGCGTCTATGGTGCGACAGCAGACAGTGCAATAACAACCGTTTCTTCAACTTCTTGAGTTTATGTTTATGGGTGCGCGACTCCGGTGAGGCGTCGTTGTAATCTTGGAATTCCACGGCATCGCTGAGCGCTGTACACGCGAAAAGAGCAAAAAGCACTAATGTACACTGCAAAAACAAATATCATAATAATTATACCCAAGTTTACAGTTTGAGTGTTTGGCGCAAGTATTGAAAAAACTACCATTACCCTTCATCCCTCCTACCAACACATTAACGTTCAAAGCCACTTCTCCTCAAATGTTCACTACCAAAAAAACGTTAGTACACTGATGAATGATGATATTTAAATCCCCCATCCTAGCATTATATTAAGTTAGCAATTGCCTGGTGGTTATACTTAGATCTTTCTGCGTGTTCCATTGAGTCGAATGTCGATGTAAGTTATATAGCGAATAATAATTGATCAGTTTAGTGATTGTAGAAATTAGGTATACCCACTCCCTGTACTCGACCACAATATATTAAAAAAAGTATAAAGTGAATGAAAAAAATGAATATTAATATAAAAATAATAGTTTTATGTTGAAATTTGTGTTATATAATATAGGAAACACAAAGACCCGGCGTGGCATATTTTATAAGGATACCTACATGAATTACGCCATACACCTATTTAGTATACTTTATATTCATTGTTACAAATCGCAAAAACTAATATTGCGCAAAAAACATGATCGTAGATGGCCAGCTTCTACAAGTTATAAAGAAATATTATTATTAACTAAAAATGATTATTAGCTTTAAACAGAGTGAATCCAAATACAACACGAAAATTATAATCATCGAGTATACAATATAAACCCAATGATATATCTATACATATAAAAATTAATGTTTGTCTGTCTGTTTGTCTGACCTTTATGCATTAGTACACCATTCATCCGATCGCCATGAAACTTAAGGAAGTTGTTGAGTACACTCCCGCGAAGGTTTCTGGCATAGTACTTTTTGTAAATTCCACCCCTAAGGGTGACCTCAAACACGAATCTTGTACTTTAAATACGAAATTACACTTGGTTTGTAACCATGGTAACCACGGTACTCGATCGAATGGTAGGTGATGATTAAAGGAACAAGCCGATTCTATGTACCACGATTCTGGGGACGCTATTAAACATTTTCACTTTTTGGAACTGGATCTGGGACTGGGACCTTTGAGTAAGAGGGGGACATAATATAATGTAATGTACATAATATGTAGATAAAAAAAAATCCGAGACGGGGTAAGTTAAAGCTTTACAATATACAGACTAGAGCACTGACATTTTTTTATTCTAATTTATAATTATTTTACTCAGCCCTGGCAACGCCGGGTCGGGACAGCTTGTATATTATATATCTGTAACAACTGTGAATAAGTGTGTAAGTCGATTTCAGTGATTTTACAGGGGAGCTTAAACTTTGACCAGCTGCCATAAATCTCTACTTAGCCAATAACTCACATCTCTCTCAAGGTTTTCTTGTTGGTCCAAAGAATTAGACATTTATTCAAGGTGTGCTAGACGCCTCGGACTACATCCTAGCGTACTTACAAGGGGAGGTCACAGTGATGGCGTGACGGATTTTCTTCAAATTGCGAATGAATGTTATTTATGAGAAATAAAAAGACCCTTATTCGAGCGTTTGTGCCAATGCGTCCTAATTCCAGAGATAATCAACTTTGAAATTTACATATTTTTTCGGTATATCTTAAATAGACCTATTTTACAACCGCCGGTAAAAACTAAATGTGGTGCAGTCGAGCATGATCGGTGCTCCGGAGCGCGCAGTACCGGGTTCAGCTCTGGCTACCGCCGCAGCACTTTTTGCATTTTTTTACAACTTTTTTTTAACTTTTATGGTAATTTATATTACAAGAAGTCTAAAAACTTATAAAATATTTATATTTTATTCCTACAGAATACATTTTTACCCTTAAAAGTACTTGATAACCTATATTCCATTCGGTTTTTCGTAATTTATTATACCTCTCGTACTGATGATTGAATAACAATTTTTTTTGTATAATTGCACTATTGTATAGTGCAATTTAACCTGTAAAGTTGTAAGACTAAAAAAATAATTTTTTTCCATTTTTCTATAATAGTTATTGGTTATTAATTAATAATTTTTTTACAACCAAAAAAAATACATTTATACTCTGTTAAGCAATGTAGTGTATTAATGTTGATGGTGATATTATAATTTATCTTCATTGGGGAAATTACGACCCGGGTGGGATGTAATAACCAATAACTATTATAGAAAAATGGAAAAAAATTATTTTTTTAGTCTTACAACTTTACAGGTTAAATTGCACTATACAATAGTGCAATTATACAAAAAAAATTGTTATTCAATCATCAGTACGAGAGGTATAATAAATGACGAAAAACCGAATGGAATATAGGTTATCAAATACTTTTAAGGGTAAAAATGTATTCTGTAGTAATAAAATCGATCATGCTCGACTGCACCACATTTAGTTTTTACCGGCGGCTGTAAAATAGTTCTATTTAAGATATACCGAAAAAATATGTAAATCTCAAAGTTGATTATCTCTGGAATTAGGACGCATTGGCACAAACGCTCGAATAAGGGTCTTTTTATTTCTCATAAATAACATTCATTCGCAATTTGAAGAAAATCCGTCACGCCATCACTGTGACCTCCCCTTGTTAGTCAATTATGACCAAAATTCGACTTGCACACTTATTCACAGTTGTTACAGATAAGGTACTAGCGAATAATAATATTGTTTTTCTCTTCTTTTTTAAAAATGTTTTTTCTTTATTAAATGACTTTCTAAAGCTAATTATTGAAGAATTATTAAATAAAAGTTTCATAGTTAAAACATTTTTTGAAACTAAAATTTCATAAAACGGTGTAACCGAAAAATTATAAAAATAATAATCATTTAATTATTTATATTATATTGAAAAAAAGTATTCAGTTAAAAAAAAAATGTTTATGTTGTAAGCCGTAAGTGTAATTAAAAATGTTTAGAACTAATTTGATTTTTTTTTTGGAAGTTCTGTACGTACTACGTAGCATGACTTATGTCTTATTGCCATTGAAAAATATATCAACTTTGAGAGCGTTATCCTTGAATAGTCGTGATGATATAATCGTCCTAGCTTACAAAGTTATTGTCGGTCGAGACAAATGAAACAACATGCTAAAACAATGTGATATATCTTCTAAGCTTTAAAATCTAATACCCATACCTAAAAAAAATTACTTTTTAATACATTTTGTAATTTAAAAAATTATAGGAATGCGTTTTAAAATAAAAGCTTCAGAATAAAACTAAGTTTTTAACAGAGTCTTGCCAAAAAGTGATTATAGATCTAATTTGAATTATTTAAATTTATAAAATATGTTAGTTTTTGTGCAACTTAGCATCAGGCTATAATTATTTTTAAATAGTATTGTTTTAATCTTATGTATGTCATAAACGTTTGGTATTGTAAAATATTATAGTCAACTTAGAAACTTATACTTAAAAATTGAAAAAAAACCTTGTTAACTTTGTTAAAAAATGCTACATGCAACTATTTGTACAACTAATACCTACTTGCGCAAAGTATGTACCTAATACTTGAAATTCAAATTTAGATTTATAATAATTAATGAGATAAAGTAATGTGTAGAACGTATGGTGGAAACTAAGATTCAAAAGGAGGAATTAGAATACATTTGGTATCAGCGATCTACTTAGAGCAAATATAACAGGATAATTAAAGTTTAACATGTTCAAATATTTTGAGCATTTGATACGTTGTTTTTTGCTTGTGTACAATTAAAAATAAAACAATAATTTTACCGAACTTGATACGTAAGCTGCAAATTAACATAAATTTTAAAACTCACCAAATGTTTCATAATTTGACTGATGGCGTTTTTCACAAACTATAGAACGTTATTGGGTATAAGCACCGGCATCCCAAACATCTTATTATGTTCGCATGAAACGGTGCAGTGACTTTCACACGAATTTGTTCTGTGAGCACGTTTGGTTTGTGTCCTATGATGTTTGTATATGCGCGAAAATATTATAGCGCCAACTCGTGTGCTCCGTCTCTAACGCGGATTCGTTATATAAGTCCGTACATGCGAGTTTAAGCATATTTAAGTACTAGTTTAACCCACGCAAACGGTGTGGCTTGACCCAGTGACTTCAATACTTGCGGCGCGTATGAATTACATAATTTTGGATAATCCACAAGCTATATTAGAAACACAAACCTACATAATATACAGGTACAGTTGGGTTGTAAAATAACACGAAATGGGTTCACCCGTGGATGTTTTGTTGTTGTAATGATTTTTTTTATGGTTACTCGCGTAAATTCAATAATACAGTGTTATTCTTTCACTGTTAAGTCCCACGATGTTAAACTGTTATTACCTGCCTGATACCTTTTGCACAGCCATCGAATTTTCCATCACAAGACACAACAAGTAGGTCGTTACAGTTACAAATAGTCCTGGATATCTGGGTATTACTTAATTAATTCATTATTTTTGGTCAGAACTCAGATGTCTCCCAAATAAGTATTTTCTCTAAAATACAGGTATTGAGAAACATTGTTTAAAACAAATTACACACAGCGCAGATAATATGACAGCAATCGATACGTTTAATTCGTTTTTACATCTTTAAATAATTGTACAGCCATATAAACGTATTTATTATACTTTTTGCAATTAAGTGACCATTGAGTAATTAAATTAACTATAAAAATATGTTAATGTATTATTTACCTAAAATTAAATAGCTTAAATATGCACAATGATATAGCAATAACGAACGGTATATGTATGTGTATGTTTATATAAATAGTAAATACTCGTATATTTAAACAAATAGCTGTAGCAGTACAAATTCAGAATTCTTTCAGAAGTCGGATTCTCCCAATTCCAAATGACCTGTAAATAATTTTTAAAATAACATTAAAAAAAAACTAAATTTGATTGTAAATGGAAGCGTTCCAAGTGTCTGGTTCCAATTAATCGGATAGTAGACAAGTAAGTGTAATTAGTAGAACCTGGTAGATTGTATTATACATTTATTGTAATACAGACATTTGGAACACTCCAAAGAAAAGCCGTATTATCAATGTAAAAAAAAAACAAAAACACACTGCATTTGCAATAATATGGTTAATAAATAAATATTTAAATAGTAAATATTAAAAACTACACCTTTTGTTTTATTTTGGTATTGTAATTACTAATTAGTAGTATCAAAACTAAATCTAATATTAAAATATCATTCAATATCATTACGAGACCTTCAAATATTTGATACTTTTTTCGATAGCAAAAAATAAATAAATAAAAAACTTAACGGACATAATTCAAAAGGTGGAGTTTGAGAAAACCATTAAGAGCAATAATGTTATTATTATAATTATTATTTCCAATATTAAAAAGGAGTTAACGTAGCAAAGAACTAAGAAGAAGACGTTATGTGATATACAGACGTGTGGTGTTTGTCGATCAGTACATTAGCCATTAAATGATGCGCCTCAACCCCGTTTATCTTTTAAAAAAAATCACTGAAATTTATTTTTTATAGTACATCTAATATAAGAGAAGAACAGTACAAAATGGTGTTATAAAAATAATTAATTTGAAAGGGAGGGGGGTGAAATATAAAAGTTAGTGAAAATAAAAATACTACTAAATATATGCGGCTTTATTTGCGAAAATATATTTTGTTAAATCCTTATAGTTTCAACGCGGAGCTAAGAAGTTGTTGATTTGAACTTATAAATTATGTATTATCTTTTTGTACTGAAGTCTGAACCTACGATTATCATTAAATTTGTTATATATGTATAAATACATATATACATATATAACTATACAAAGTCAATTGAAGGGCTGCGGGGAAAAAAGATCAATGTCAATTTTTTAACATTCTGAGAAAATCATGTTTTTAATTTTAAAACGTAATACATTTTGCCTGTATGCCTAAACTTTCAGCGGTCGTTACTCTCGACCAATCGGGTTTTTCCATGGTCGAGCGCATAAACGATACAATACATCAATACAAATAACTTGATACCAAAATCTCATTTTCAAAAAAAATTGGCATTGATCTTTTTTCCCCGCAGCCCTTCAATTTATTCATATACGTAATACACATAACTCAAAAGTCACATAAAAAATCTTTCACAATAAATACTTTTCACCATTTGGTCGTCAAAATAAAAAAAATTTAAAAAATGTCCCAATTTCTATAATAATGATTTATGAGCAACTTTAACTAACCAAATCAATTATTTTAACAATGTTATAGAATATCAATAACTTTAAGATAATAATAATACATTTTAATTTAAGAAAAATTTGTACAAATAGAAACTAGAATAGGTATGATGATTGACTCAAAAGAAAAAATTATTTAATGCAAAATATAACACACTACTTTATAATAACAAACGTCGTACGTTGTTGGTATAAAAAATGTTATACTAAAGTTATATTTTGTATGTTATCTCATGCAGTTATCTGTATATTAATATTGATAACTATTTAGTAAACTGTAAAATTAATTAAGTCATATGAAATATCGACGGTGTAATGCACATATTGTAGGATACGTCTGTATTTAAAATGTTTTGCTAGTTTGTAAATTTCTGTGACAACAACTGTATTGTAAATGGAATTTATTTCCTAAATAAAAAAATTAAAATATTTGTTTAACAAAATATATATATATATATATATACGTTACGAAGGGGTAATAATGACCGACTGGCTCCTAGAGAATCTAGAGACTCCAATCGTGGCCTCATTCGCTAAAACATGTGTTTTTAGGTATTTGGCCACAGCTCGGCTGCTAATATCTTTGCTACTGATCTAAATAGCGATACTCCTATACCAGAACTAGAAAACGTATATAAATTGTAATGCTTAATAATTGTTGCATAGTCTTTTTTATGTTAAAATACGAGTACCTACTCATGTAAATCACTCAATAAAATCTTAGATAAACGAGGCCAATAAATAAAATTAAAAAAAACCGCTCACAGATTTAAAAAAAAAACACAGCAGATTATATATGTATATACCTTAGAAAATCGTTATAAAAATAGAAAACGAGACAATGGTGAATAAAAAAAATTGATGATTAAAAAACTTTCAATTTTTTGGACGATGAATGGGAATTTTCGGACATTTGAACTTGGTCGTAGTTTTCACGCTGGCTCCCTGAATGGTCTTAAACGCTTTGGATGGCAGTATATCATAACCATCATAAGGGCAAGTGAATTCCCAACTCTTGTAGTAGTCATCGTATTCCGTTCCACTGTCGGTACGGTTAGCGTTGTGGACGGAAGTCAAGGCTGGCGTAGACGGCGTTGTAGCCGTTGACGAATACCCGGACGCGGTCATCGGTGTGATCTGCATGTCGTCCGCCACGTCATCTTCCCTCAGGAAATCAAACAGCCGAGAGTGTGTGCACGTCCTATGGTATTTTTTAGGACCGCTGACATCCTTTTCGGATGTCTGATGGCTGATGTCCGACGTGATGCCAGAATCAGCGTCTTCGCTTTTCCGCCTGAGATCATGGTCCTTGACGTCTAACAAGAGATAACTTGGCGATGCGTCATCTTCAGTTTCGCTAAACGAAATAACATCTTGGTTAACTGACGCGATATTGTGTTGCTGTTCTCCTTGTGGTTTAACTGCACTACGATCGTCGTTGATTTGTCGCCAAAAATCAACTGGTGATTCCCGTACAGCCTTTGCGTTCACACTTTTGTTTCCCGTTGTCTTCATTTTCGGTAAAGTAATGGTCACTGTGATTTCACAATCGGTTTCAGCTATTCGATTCTTATTTTTTTCTTTTTTGGCACTCACTTGGTTTCCTTTATCTCTATTTTCGTCAAGTTTTTTCTCCTTGGATTTCTCGTTAACAGTCACATCTTCCTCGTCGATAGTGTTTAACATGTGAGCCTCGTGTTCGCCGAGCGGAGAAGTAGGACAAAGCGATAAATCTATTTTATTTTTAGGTTCGTGTTCGTAAAATTCTTGTAGGGAACTTTTAAGGTGGCAAAACCCACCAAAGGAATAGAAATAGGGAGCCAACAGGGGTAACTTTCGTGATTTCACTTCTTGGTTTTCCTCTTCTACAAAAAAAAAAGACAATATCTATGCTAATAGGTGTACTAAAGTAATTTCGTTGGTATGAAGTTAAAAATGTTTTTAAAATTAACCGACAACGAACAAAGAGAGTATTCGCCGAGTATAAACCGATTATCGACGGTAGCGTAAAATCGATGCTATATCATTATTCTAGTATTTTATATAGAACAACTTGTTTTAACACAAACATTTGGAATAACGTGTAAAAGGTTAGAGACCGTCTACAGGTATTTATTTATATTTTATATATTTATACGTGTATATATTTTTGTTGATGCTGGGCGGAGGTCTTCTCACCAGGGTCAAACTATAAATAGTACTGAGAGTGAGTAATACAACAAAATATGATAGTTGAATAGCTCAGTGCTTACATTGCAGAAAGCTAAAAATAACGAATAATTTTTAACAACACTTCATTACAGAACTGATTATTAAATGTAAGTCGACTTATGCATAAGTGATAAGCACAACCATAAGCAACATTTAATAGTACGTGATACTCTCTATCTATTAAGGAGTAAAGTATAGGCAATTTTTTGCAAAATCTTAATTTAAAGATTGAACTATACTCTATGGTGTATACTTATTAATAAAGAATAAAAATAAAGCAATGAGGTTTCTTTATGGGTAGTTATTTTGTTAGCCAGACTATCACAGTCTTTTCTATAGGATAAACAACAATTGTTTCCTCATCAAAACTCTGCTTTGCAAAGGACAAGAGGTCAATATTCACAGTAAAATTACCAAATTTCCACATTACAGTATAGAAATTTATCTGTTGCTGTGTCGTCTATGTATTTAATATTATTACTCACTAACTTTTAATAAAATGAAAAAAAACAAATCTTTACGAATGAATAACTTTAGTTATCAAACAAATCAAAACGCTACGACACGTGTAAAGTTATTCTTTGTGACCTGTGTAATGTAACATTAACAAAATTCTACATCCGAGTACAAAAAAATAAGATTGCGGCTAAAATACGGGTGATATTATGTCCTCTTAAGAGTAAAACGATAAGCATATTCTAATGTTCAACAAACAAGTTAATGATCGGTACCTATTTTTTTAATGTCTAAATTAGGTTTTATTAATGGCAACGATATGTAGCATATTAAGTGTTTTATTGTAATTTAACACTTAGTTAAATGTATTTATACAAACCATTAAAAACAAATTTTGGATAATAAAGCTTGCGAAAGAAAAATAAATGTAAAAATATTGCTTAATAAATTTCTTAATTACGTAAGTATATATTTTATACGTATAGACTATGGTGAAAGTAAATATTCCTAGTAACATTAATCAACTAAACTTATAGAAATATAATGCGTCACTAGATCTATTTGTATAATAACTAATGTTTAAGACACGTTTAGAATTCTTTATACAATTCAATTTTTCATCTGGATGGTTTTTAAGATACAAAAATAAATCTGTCATATCATTTGCCAAAAAATGAATTGCAATAATCATTGGTGTCTAGTCCAAGACTCAAAATTAATAAAATAGATGTTCGTATACAAATTATGAAGTATAGTGTGATGTAAAAAATACTCATTAATTGCTTAAAGTTACTGGTTACTATCGACGATATGATTTGGATCTATAATTAGATTTGAAAGTAGTACTACTGATCACGATAGTTAATTTAAGTTGTGCGGAATTATTTCCGAAAATTAAATGAGCATAATGGGACTTTCATTCGCAGTCATTCACTATAATCATATTTTATACCTATTACTTGGCATAGTAAAAAATTTTAATTTCCCCGGTATAATGTAACCTTCCTACTGGGTCTCGGTATTTAATTTAGAATTTATAAACTCGAACATTTATTATTAATGTTTTAAATTTCCATACAAACATTGTCCTTATTAGTATACTTAATTCTTTGGTAGGATTACAGAAGTTGATGTCACATTTTGTCAATATTGATGTAGTTATACAAATATATATTCAACTGGGTATAAAAAATTTAAAAAATTTAATTTTCTTGAAGTTGGAAAATCACAATTTACATATGAACTTGAGTCATCCTACCACAGAAATAATGTAGCTGAATTAGTATTTAGTAACTGGTAGTTGTTTAAAAAACAATTTCTGATTAAAGCTTCTTAAAGGTACTTTTCTTGTATTAAAAATAAAGTTATTAAAAGTATTAAATTTTTTTATTTTACTTATTATTGTACAGAGGTATTTAGAATACCTTAATAAGTATGATGTAGTAAAATGTTAAGAATTGTGCAAATAAAAAAAATGATGTCTATAATAATAATTTAAAATTAAATTGACATTTATTTTCTTATGCTAGAAATATATAATGCTATCAACAATTTATGTTATCAATTTTAGTATAATTTATGGTCAGCAAAGCTACACGTATAATTTATTTATCTGAAATAGTTTGAAGTCTATAGTAGTAAAAAATACACTTTTTAGGCTATAGTTATCAATGTGCATAACTTACAATTATTATACGTATTCTAAAAACAATTTTCAAAACAGAAATAGAAAAAATAACTGCTTTGTCTCTTAAATAAAAAAAAAATGGACAGTAAAAAAATCTTGTTTACAATATGCACTGTACATAATATATGTAAACATGATTTTTTTTACTCATATATTATATGTGTGTATATCTGATTAACTACAAAAGGAATGTTGCATATATACTACGCAAACGTGTTGTAAACAGTTATAATATAACAATAATAAATTAGCGTAGATAATTGTGTTGACTCAATTTTTATGCGAACAATTATGTGGTGAAAATATCGATTGCATTGTAATAATTGAACAATCTCGCACTCGATCGATTACACACAATTAACGTTCAACGACATTCGTGGCTTAATAGACCAGAACAAATATACAAACAAATAACAATGTATTTGCTCCACGAAAAAAATGATAAAAAAAATAGATACATATAATGATCATTATCATTATTTTGAGCAAACCTAAACCAATTACTTAAAAATTACACATTTTTTTAATGGTTTTCGTCATGTTTTATCATCAGACGCTACATATCATTAAAATTGTTTCTAATATATATATTTCAAATCTATTTACGTTAAAAGTTCATCGAAAGATTGTATCACATATTTGATCGTCAATTATATTAAAGTAGATTAGTTAGATAAAATAAAAATAAAAATAAATACATTAACAATTTTTTACCGTTGTTCTGGCCGGTCATGGCTTGGAGCATCTTGAAAGACCTAGATGGTATAGAGCCTCCAGTGTACTTGTGTGGTTCAACGCCGGTCGGTCTTTCAGACGGTGGCACGTATATTTTGGACTCGACAGGCTCTGAAAAGTTTCAACAAACAATATAAGCCTCGCTTTACTTGAAGCCATACAAATACACCCCTAACCCAGGTCACAGGTGAGCTTTAAAGACAATAAACGTTTACCTGACACATAATGGGTTATCGGCACTGAATGGTGTTGTACGCCGTTGTCCGTCGAAACTAAACAAAATGCACAATCAATTTAATTAAACTCGAGCGTAATCGTACTGCGTGCAACATTTTTATTTAACGATTTTATTAAACAAAAGCATGTGGTAAGAAATAATAAAAAGCAACAAGCGCGCATTGCAATGACACTACTACAAAAACATGGCGTACACAGTAAAAAGTTGTCAAAAGCAAATCTACTCGTTAATAAATTCAGTCGTTTAATAACACAGTATACAGGGAGAACGCGTGCTTTACCCGGTCCTGAGTTGGTCATTGTTTGCAACATTCGGAAACTTCTAGACGGTATAGACGCGCCTCTGTAACGAGGATCCGTTTCGTTATGTAAATATTTTTCGTCGTCAACTGATAATTATACAAAACAGTAATTACTTCGATTAGTACGGTTTCATTTATATCGGGTTCGTTTTCATATGATGATGATGATAATATTGTCGAAGAAATATTGTTTTTCATTTTTTTGTATCGAGTATATGGGGCATTTTGGGTTGGGAAAATGTCAGATGTGTGAAAATCGAATTGATATATATATACACATACAATATGCTGCTCGGTTTAAAAGTGTATAGCAATATTATGCCGCCATCAGAATACGGGCATTTAAACATAATATTCATGATTACCACTATCGACCAAGACTTTGAAAATTTTGGAAGGAATAGAATCTCCTCTGTACCTCCTCGGGTTCTCTATTTGTACATTAGCTACAATGATTGTGGTGTAGAAATTTAACGGATATCTCATGTATTATTAATTATGTAATCATATACATACTTTGAGTTTTAACTTTATTCATTAATGATCTGTCGTCGTCATTCAAGTTTAATTTTCTAAGTTCGGAAAGCGGAAGCGCTTGGCTGTTGTAAGGTTGCGTGCCATCGTAAATCCCTGAAAATAATATAATATATTTATATGTTTAATTATAAAAAAAGTTTTTAGGAAAAATGAAACACGTAGAATTACAATTCGGACGACATCATAAATAAGATGGTAAATATATTTTAATTAAAAAAATCTTTTTTAGCTGCACCTTTAGGTTCTTGGGTAATTTGTTGTAGCACTTTAAAAGATCTTCCTTGTATGGGCTCCGCATCGTATGAATGGCTTAAGTTATTTTTCATCGGTGGTGGTTGTCTAACAGGCTCGACTCTCAATGGTATTACTCGTTCTTGTGCTGGTCTATCAACCTATATATTTTTATAATAACATTAATATTAATTAAATACAGTTCTTTTGAATAAAATCGTTGTTTTCTTATTCTGATGAAAAAATAATAAAAACCTTTGTTCTGGTTAAACTGTTTAGAATTATAAAACAACTAGATAATCATCTCAGAGTTTACATTGTATCCTACAAAATGACCGTAAGAGGTACATTTAACCTAATGCTGATGTCCGTGTTTTAAAATAGTAGAAATACAAATATTTACCCCTTAACACACTTTTGGTCACTTTGGCCTTTGTTCAGTTTGTAGGAGAAATAATTTTACATTGCTGGTATTGTGAGTTGGATACCTATACCCTGTTCGCCAAGAGAGCATGCCGCGACCCGACGAAAATTGGCCGTTCTGCGCATCCCGCTGCGGCACCCAGTGTGACTAGTATTCCCCCGAAGTCTGCCAGCCTTAGTCTTGCTGCTTAGTCTTCAGTCTACATGCGCAAACCCGACATGCTCTCTAAGCGAACAGGGTATAGTTGTTGTATTTGGGTTAAACCTTTTACGTGAAATCATGGTGCAAACCAAGTTTATAGTTTAAAATAAATTTACCTGATCAACGTTTTCGTTTCTGTTTTGAGCCCAAGGCGCTAGATTATGATTTTGTTGGGGTTGTGCAACTTTTTGCAACCACGGAGTGGGTGCTTTGTTCAAATGTGGCTGTTGAACCTGCGGTAAAAGACATACTCTTTCTGCAGCAGGGCGCACGTTACAAACTGGTTTCTGATCAATATTTGTTTTTGCTGGTGATTGTTGCTGAGGAAGTTGATACTGCTGTGGTTGTTGATTTTGCTGTAGTTGTTGATGTTGTTGTTGTTGATGCTGCTGAGGCTGTGGCAGTTGAAACTGCTGCGGTTGTGGTAAATGATATTGCTGTGGCTGTTGCTGAAGATAATTTTGTTGTTGTGGTAGAATGGGATATTGCTGTTGTTGTTGTTGATAATCAGGAGATTTTTGGAGTATCTGTTCAGGAGTAGGTGGAGTTTGAGCATTTCTTTCTAAACGCCTCTGCATTCTAGGACTTTTGATCTCACTGAGATCGAGACCACCCGGTAAGTATGTAAACGGCTTCTTATCTTTAGTAGCCATTGCATTTTGGATTGCTGATGGCAATTCTTTGGGTTGTTCATTCAGCTGTAAACGTTCATTAATAGAAATATATTATTTATAGAACTATTAATTAAAACGCTCCATTTTTGGACAAATTTGTTCGCTTAAAAAAAACCCACCGACAAAATGTCTACTTGTCTGGCTATTTTTAGAAATTATAAAAATATACTAGACATTAAATAGAGTAGTCAATGTATAAAAAAAATCGAAGAAAAATGATGTAGGAAATTGTATACATAAACCTACTATATTATCTACATATATTGTGATATGAAAATAATCAAGTACAATAATTGTTTTGTAGCTATGGAGAAATATAGAGGACGTTTCTCTATATTGACTGCATTCTACATTGATTTGACAAGTGGCTCCATTTTACAGTTTGACCATAGACATAAAAAAATTGCTCCATAGACCTGATACTGATAGATAGAGCATAGCATTAGTTGCCGCGGTTAACGGTGGCTACGGTCAGCGGTGCAAACTTTGTTCCATAATTATGTGCATGTGCAAAGAACAAATATGTTGTGCAATATCTATAGACTTTGTACTAATAGACGGAACATAATATCAGTAGAAATCGAAAATCGGCATCACTGCACAACAAGTGACACAAAACCGCACCACCTACCCGCATCCCGCCAGGATGCTTTGTCTATTAGTATAAAGTCTATGACCTACTCCCAATATTTTGATAAGTAATAGTAAATGGTAACACAAGTACTGGCACCATAATTTTATCTAAATTCTGTATAAAAATGGGTTTTATCTAATGTGGCAGCACTGTAAAATCAAGACTCTTGTTGAACCAACATTTTGATGAAACGCGGCTCTTCTTCAAAATGGCTTCTAAGATACATTTTTTAAAGAATAATAACAAATGATAAAAAAAATGTATAGCGAGTGCAATATTAGTATGTAGTTAAACCGCAATATTTTAATTAAATCGATTGTTAAAACATTAAATTAGCAATTAAAAGAACACAATGCACATTATGTTACTTCACTTACTTAAAGTGAATGAATAAAAAAAATAAGCTTAGGCTAGTACATCATTACACAGCAGTATAAAAAAGAGTTGTTAAATAATTGTTATTATTTTTTTTAGCATATTAATTGTAAAACAAGATAAAAACATTTTCCCATAATATTTTCGTTACAATTATTTAATAATTAAAAATTAAATTTGTTTATGTTATTACTTAATACTTATTAGTTATGTCAAAGGTATTTAAAAAATAATCAGGCACTAACTTATTTTTATAACTTATTATATAAACCATTTTATTGTTAATATTTATAAAAAATAATTAAAAATAAGTCGAGTGTTAATTATTTTTGAAATATTTTTATTTATAATTAAGTGATTTTTTACGCCTAATACTTCAATTAAATACTTTATACTATAAAGCATTTTTATAACAATGAATGATAGATAATCGCATATTGTAATAGCTGAAGGGTTAATATTTAAATCATATAATTGTAATTTGATATAATAATAGTTACCTCTGTTTTTATACGTATTGCTGGAATGTGTCCACTATGCAACATGGGAGGAGGTGGGGGTGGACCACCTTGAACTGTGCCTCCTGTAAATTAAAAACCATTGACAAAATAAGTATTGTGTTATGTGTTATCACTTTAAAATTGTTTGTAGCAAAATCTAATAGTCGACAATTGTTATAGTAGTAGTATAATATAATATTGGTATACTACACTTACCAGAACAAGGCATTGGTGGGGGCGGGGGAGGCGCAGACATGTCTCCTGTTGAGTTTCTTACTCCTACTTGGTGCCTAAAAAATATAAATAAAGTCTGTACAGTGGGGTCAGGCCATAGTGAAGTCGGTGTCGTCATAGGATGTCGGAATTATTATAACTAAGAGTGAAGAAATCACTCTGAAACGAAGAGCTTCGATGGGAATCTGCAGATGGTATAATTATTAGATTTCGATAAAATGTATTGTAAAAGCAATACAGTGATTTAAATTGTATTTATAGTATTAGTATGGATACGATTAGGGTTGATCGGTCATCTATAATTATTTCTTACCCATGTAATATATTATGTGATACGAACGTTTTATTCGAATAATGAACTGAACTATGACTATAATGACTACTTTAAGAAATCGGTTCAGCTGTTTAAAAGATACCGTGGGCCCAGACACAAAAAAAAAAAAAATAACACATCGTTGTAAAAACAATACCATCTCAGCTCTGCATCGAAGCTAAAACAATATCCTATTAGTTAAACAGTCATTAACGATAAACGTGAAAAAGATAAACTCGCATTTTTGTCGATTAGACGTGGTCACTCTTCAAAACAACAATATATAATACATAACTGAACCTACTTATGCAAGAACATGTCTAATGCAAGTAGAAAATGAGCCAAAATTGCTTAAACAAAATTTGTTGTTTCCCATAATAATAGCGTCGTATAAGTGTATTTCATATTAAATAATATACAGAGTATGCTAGAGTAATACACATTTGTGTCTCAAATTGTCGTTGAGGGGGGACAAGCTACCATATTAGGTCCGAAATGCGCTGCTTGAGAGCAGCTGTCTGTTTAACGCTAGTTATCTCTTTTGATTTTTCTGCAGGATCAGCCTTGCTAATGCCCTTGGTCGGGCGCCGATGTTTTTTTTACTCTCTTCTAATAACAAAATACACATCATTTCAACCTTGCTTGTGCACACGTTGAATTTTTTTTTGCTGCTTGTTTATCTTCTACATTATGTCTTTATAGTATTGCTAAGGTCAACGGTAATTCGATTAAACGATTGCCACAGAAAACAAATACATAGGTATACGCGGAAATGGGACAATCCAACAATGGCCATCCAAATAACAATACAAATTATGAACTGTAAGGGTCGACTACTAAGTAGATCAATACTTATGATTTTCCCTTATATTTCGAACAGCATCAGGTGAGTCAAACCGTTTATGTCTCAATTTAAAACAAAATATTCAAATAAAAAATTTAGGAAAAAATATCCTCTTTAGGGTACAATATAAGTAATAGTATGATATTTAAAAAATATAAAGTCGTATATGTTTTGTATCCAGCTTAATAGTAATACATGTCAATATGTTATGTTATTAATTTTTTTAATAAATATAACTCTAATAATCATAATACAAATTTTGGTACCTACAGATTATTAACATAAAAGTGCCCACTATAAAAAAAAAATTATGTACGGGCTACATTTTTAAAAACAAGTAAGACTCCAGTTTGACTCCAGTGAGGGCTGACATAATGGTAGATCCCGACCCAAGGAAATACGAGTTCATATAATATATTATTATATTATATTATAATACGTAACATATGAGTTATGACATTCACATATCAAGATTTTAGAAATATTTTGATTTAAAATTTTATAATATGTACATCACAGCCAACGGACTCAATTTTCAAACAGTTTCATAGATAAATTTCATATATACATTTATAGCGTCGTGGAATAATGTTAAGCTATATTAATTATGTATGCTAAAAAAACTATTTTGTAATAATTAATAATCATAATTATACTCATGTTTCATTACATACAAATAATAATAGTTTCTAATAAAACATTATTATATTTCATATACTTCATATTATAATATCATGAAGTACCAATCATTATCCAGCACCAATATCGTTTGTACAATTATATTATGCTGCAATTAGTTGATGGGTAAATATATCCGTGACTCATTTTACAAGGCCGACATTAATCAGCATCATTATTTATATGAGCAGATTGTGTATAGTTAAATAAATAATACATTCAATTATTATTTCAAGTAAAAATCAGTAAAAACATTTCAAACAGTTATCAAAGGAAGTTTAAAGAACGTTGGCTTTTGAACTTGATTTAAATACTACTCAATAATATGTTAATAATAAACAATAACTGTTAAGCTTGTCAATATATTTTTATCTCAGAATAATAAATATCAATTGAATCATAGGATACTTAAGTATTAATTTTGGTAAAATTTGATTTTATACTAATATATCAAACAAGGCTTTTAGTGTTATTTACAAACTTTGGGTTGATCATTACAGTTTCAATCGCTAATATGCATTATCTATATAGACAACTAATGAGCACATAACAAAGCATAGTATCAAAATCTCTTAAAAGTTAAAGAGGATGTAATATTACAATGTCTACATGGCGCTTTTGACATAATATTCTTCTTAATGCCCATAATGTATTGCTACAATCACGTCAAAACTATAATTTCAAAAGTATTAATAGGCATAAACTTAAAGATCTATGGTTTTTATTTAAATCAAAAGACGGATATTGAATATTTACATTACAATATATACACATTCTCAGTGTGCACGACATACACATTTATTGTCTGCGCCTTCAAATTCATATATAATAGGTATATCATACCTGAAAATGAGCATTTTTACATATAAAAATCCTGTCGTTATCCATAAGATCATAAAAGTTTTAAGAGCTAATTAGTAATTATACACACATTAGTGCATACTAATGTCGGGAAGTTCATTAAAAAGGCAATTCTATTTCTTACGAATTCAGGCTTAACGATTTAATGTGCTTCGAAAAATAACTCTAATTTATTACGTACATACATTTAATATGATAATAATGTAATAATTCACGTTTAAAAAATCAAATCTGGATAAATATAATTAAAATATGTTTTTTCTGTTAATTAAATAATTTGTTTGTTTTTTATGACTACAGACACCTTAAATAATATTGGAAATAAAGGATACATGATTTAAAACCGTTGTCGAAAAACATAAAAAATAGATATAGTAAAATAGGATACATTTTTTTAAACAAATTATTCGAATTAATGACCATTGGAATTCTGATTGGACTAAAAAAGAATACCCATCTGTTCAAACTAAAATGCACGATAAATATTTACAAATATGTTGACAATAATTTTTTAAGCTATGCAGAAAATTCAATAGTATCTGAAACAGATTATTTAACGCAAAACATATTCGATCGGGTACTCAAATATTTAAATAAAAAATGCCAGAATAGTGGGATAGGAACATAATGGGGACGAAGCCTACACTCATCGAAAAATAACGTTATATTTAATAAAAATGTAGACTAATTGGATAAACACTTAATTGATACTGACCCCATAAATGTTTTATCAGCATAATATATTCATAGTTGTTACTTGTTATTATAAATTATAAATATTTTATCACGGTAATCGAAAAATACAATAATACATTTATTAAAAATTTGTTAGTTAATTAATTAATTACAATTTATATCAACATAAGAATTTCTTTTATCGTGTTGACAGTATTTTTTTCATATGAATAAAGTAGTTTTATTAAGTGTTGATAAATAAAGTTTATTTTTAGAGTCATATAAGTTTTCAGGAATTATTACAATTGAAAGTTATGTAATCACTTTTAAATAAACGCTTCGATTCGAATCTGTGTATGGTAGGAATAATAAATATCGATAAAAGTATTGTAAAGGCAAAAATGTGTTTAAAATTGTATTTTAGGTATTAAGGTGGATACGATTAGGGTTGATTGTCTATCTTTTCTGAAAATTCGTTGCCGTTGTTATAAACCAACAACGTATTATGCAAATATTTTTTCGAATACCTTCTAATTAATTAAATGCCTTCATTAAATGTTGATTCACACACGTGACAACCTAGTAATTGAATTTGATCAAAGTATAATGATCCTCTTCTTTGGTTTATTTAAAAAAAAAAAAATTTGACTATTGATTTTCGAGAAAATTGTATGTTATCACCCACTCATGATATACGTTCAATCCAAAAACTACACTCGAAAAAGATAAATAATAAAAAAGTTTTCTACCTCTTCTAGGGAAAAAGTTTATTAACATTTTTTGTCAACGTTTAACGATTGTGCTTAAGTTTAACAAGTTGAATTAATTCGCTATTTGGAAAAAGTTATAGCGCACTGGAATTTTAAGTTGCAAAATATGTAGTTTCTGGGTGTTCAGCTTGATTTTTAATAGAGAGGTAAAAATGTTTTGAATGTTTGGTCTATAAAGTACCTTTCAGGTACGATTTCTAATCAATAGACTCACTACATAAAGAAGCAAATTTAAAGGCTTAGAATATATATATATAGGTTCCAGACAAAAAAAAACACATCATTGTATAATAGTTAATAATACTTTCTTAGCTCCGCATTGAAGGTAAAATGATTAAGGACGACGGCAAGAGCCAAATTGTATACAAGTTAAGAATACAACGCGAAGTCAAATCCAATGTTCCTATGGAACGGATTGATTGTCATAAAATTTAACATCTTTCCTATAGGGGCTATAAGGCCTGTTATTTATTTTTTTTAATTGAAGATAACCGTTTAATTTTTATTTTTTATGAAATTTTAATAATCCAACTAAATTTCTAATAAAAAAAACAATTCCATTAAAACAATTGAAATCCATCATTGAAAGTAACTTCTACGACTTTTCTTTATCAAACTACCACCAAAACTCAAATAAAAATAACTTTAAAAGTGTTGTCAATGAAACATTTTAATACCTAATCATTTCTCCTTAAATTAGTTAACATATTTAAAATTACTTCAAAATATTGCCTATATTTTGCGTTTCAATAAATAGCCTCATTTTGTTTCCCTTAATGCGATCAACCCAATAAATTCAGCGTACCTTAAAAGTAAAATGCAAAACTAAACACAGATACCCAATATAAATAAAATAATAACAGTTATTTGTCGCAGATCGAACACCGCCAAGACGTTTCTATTCACTTACAGTAT